AAAGAGACTGCCAAAAAGGGTCCAATAAGATGGATCGAAATTTGGTTATTAGCATGTCATCCGAAGGTGCAAGCGAACAGGATGAGAACCTGGCACTGGAGGACGATGCTGATCAGTCAATGGGTGACGGTGCGATGGTAGTTCTGGTGTATGATCCAAGGACGCTGATTCAGTCGCCTACAACTGATTGGGTTATGCGTCGTGGTCTGACCGATCGTTCCGTCTGGCCAGCAATGGCGTACACAGCACAGAGAATATGTGCTGAAATGGTTCAAGTGGATGAACTGAATGCCCAGTTGAATACTGGGAGACTCCTTTTTGAAAGGAGAGATCAAGGATATTATTGTGATTTGCATCATTCGTTCCATGACAATCCATGCTTGCCGGTGGTGGGAAATTATCCTCTTTCGGTGATGGGTGCACTGCTTTCTCCTGGCCTGGAAAAGGAATTCAGAAATACTGAAAAGTTTGGAACTGCTATGGAGGCAATAGCCTATGATTGGAGTCGCAGTCCAGGCATGGAAGTTCATGTGGAACTTATGGCAAGGGTAGCCAATCTGGTCGCTCCATTCCTTAGACTTGGAGGCCAAGGGACAGTGGTGAATTCCGAGTTTCTCTGGCAGCACGGGAGGGATCAAATGATGGAGTTCCTTCAGGCGGCGACCTGCGCTGATCAATTGGAAGTTCTCTGGAGAAGAATGGACGACGATGCTGATGAGGAAGTGGATCCTACAGGAATGGTGCTGGAGATCCCCGATCAACAAGATGCGGTACTAGATCAAGGGAACAATGAATCCCTTATTCCCATTGAAGATGCTGGAGGTGAGACACTTGGTGACACTGGAAGGGATGGCAAAGCGCCAGAAGTCTCTCCGGAAGAGGAGACATCCAGTGGGTCGTCAAGACTGGCGGGCACAAGGATTTTCTTGTGGTCAGTGTACTCTCGCGTTGCTTCCAATTTCTCTACGCAGGACCGCACTACTGGGAAGATCTTTGACAGCACAAAGGGGTATCCTGGTGAAGGACCAAACAATGGTGACAATCCTTCCTCTAAGAGGAACTTACCCTGGATCTCTGAAGACTACCTCGACGAAGTGGTGTCAAAAAAGATGGAAAGGTCTTCAGATATGGATGGGCTGGAGGGGTTTGTTCCGGGAAGTGAGGGATCGTTGGAAAAGGTAGAGGTGGAGAATGTTACTGCCTCTAAAATTCTTATGGCTCTTTGGAAAAAGGGATATAGAGCTGGGTATAGGAGGTTGTGTCGTTTGAACGTATCTGGATGCAAGGTTGGAACCGTGAAGCGTCCAATCAAAAGGGTGCAGAAGATCGGCACTAGGAAGCCTTCATGAAGAAGTTCAATGTTTTTGGATCGTCTCAGCGTGGCTCAGGAGCTGGCGGAAAACCAATCATGAAGGTGGTAGGACCAAGGCCAGGTTTTCCAGCTGTACTCCAAGCATCAAATACTGATAGCACCTGGGGTGAAGGGAGCAGTTCTCAGGCACATGGCAATGTTCATGTAGAGCAGAATCGCCCTATGGACCGGTTCGAGGCGGAGCGCTTGGAGAAGAGGAAGAAAGGCTTCTGCTATTGGTTCAGTAAGGGAAAAGATCGCTGCAAATTTGGTGAAGACTGCAAATTCATCCATTCAGAAGATGATGTGGTGCTGCATTCGTATTGGTGCAAATACTATGTGGCGGGGAGACCCTGTTTCGCTGGAAAGACGTGTGCGTTCTCGCATGATGCAACTGGTGTGAGGTGCATTCAGTTTGCTCAGTCTGGGAAGTGTCGTTATGGTGACAGGTGTGTTTTTGAGCATGGTGATCCGCTGAATGAACAGAGGCCAAGGTCTCCGAGGACGCCCCCAAGGGATGGTCCAAGGAGAAGTTCTGGTGCCAAAGGTGGGGAAGAGGAGATCTCTCCTGAACAGTTCGATGATGGTGAGGAGTATTCCATGACCTATGACGATGACACCAAAATGTCGGAACTGTTGATGGAAGCGATTTCATTTCTGTCGAATGGCAAAACAGATTTGGCCCGAGCAGAGGCGGACCCACTGTTCAAACTCCTGAAGTTCAAGGGAGATGCTGACCAGATGGATAGAGAATGGGTATCGTGGACCGACGATATGTTGTCCGTGCTGGAACTTCACGAAGTAGTGAAGTCGTATGAGGTTTCGCTCGAGGAGGTGGAAGAATGGGTCAATGACCTGAGGATATGGTTCGAGCGAGCCAACGTGGAAGAAGAAAAAGATCCCAAAAGGGGCAAAAAGAGGTCCCTAGAAAGGGAGTCCAGCAAAGATATTCCTGCCGAAAAGGAGGTGGTTGAGACTTCTGAGACGGAGGTTGTCGTTGAGGAGGAGATGAAAAAGGTCAAAAAGAAGAGGAAAGCTGCAGTTATCGAAGATCCTTATACTCTCTTGGTTCCAAAGCCGAAGAAGATGCCGGCGAACATTGAGAGGGGTGGATCATCATCCAATGCGGTGGTTTCTGCAGGGGAAAAAGCCTCGAAAATGCGCACAAAGTTAAACGTCGGTGGAAAGGCGAAGAAGAAGGAGAAAAGTCAGAGTCCCAAAAAGGGAGAAGTGGTGGTGGTGAAAGGTCCTGAGGAAAAGGATCGTCCTCCTGATGTGGATGCGCAAGCGTCTACAGCTGTGAGTGCAGAGCTGGGTCAATCTTGCCAAGCGATTGAGGACGCAAAAAGAGAAGGATTGGTATCCTCAATTCAAAGGGGCGTACAGGATCCTGTTCTTGCAGTTTCGGACCTGGAGTATATTCTGCTGCAACTTCACCTCAAGATTGCCAACAATCGGAAAAAGAAGTGATTGGATGGTATGGATGAAGGGATGGTTTTTCTCTTTCTGGAGACAGGTGCGCTGGAACAGCCAATGTGCTGACAAATGTGGTGGTTACTATTAAGGGTATGGAAATCCCTGATAGTAGAAGTCAGTAGCTTTTCGCGTAGCGAAGACCACGGTTTGTGGTGAAGAAGGCCAATGAGTCTTCAGTGATGAGAGGATCATGGTGAAAAAAGATTCTCTATGGTTAGTGGATTTAGCCAATGTGCTATAATTTCGTCCTGGTAGACGTAAAACCATATTGTGCATTTCAAGCAGCTGGCTGCTGCCCTAATGGCAGTTTTTGGCCAAAGATCTGCACCTCCAATGTGTCCTAGGAAATCCTAGGACAGGGGGAGTGCGGAGCTGCAACTGGTATTGTAGAAAAGAGTTAGTGTTGAGAGTTGAAAGGGTTAATGAACCCGGAAAACATGCTTGGCTCAAGATGGCCGAGAGCCGTCAGCTTTTGTTGAAAAAGTACGTACGCTTGGGGTTGGGTTTAACGGGTTGGAGTAGTCCCGTCCCTTCTCCCTTATCTTGTCCCCTTAGGGTTGGGTGTTCTTGTTTCTGGTTCGATCTGGGAAATCTATATAGGCGACTGTTGAGGGTTGGTTTCTTTCCCTGTTCCCTTTCGGTTGCCCCCCGTACAGGGTGTAGGGTGTAGGGTGTAGGGTGTAGGGTGTAGGGTGTAGGGTGTAGGGTGTAGGGTGTAGGGTGTAGGAAATGCTAGCACCGATGGCCGGCAAGGGCTTTGGGTGCAGAGAATCTGGAAGCAAGTCGTCATAATGTACATTGCCTAGAGTACACTCTGATGATGTGATACTCCAATTTGAAGTATATAAAGTATACCCTTCCATGAACTACAATACATTCTGCTATGCTGTATCTTAGCGCCCTGTCGTGCCTTGGTACCTCATCTGTCAGCGCGTGGTTCTTTCAACAACAGCTACGGCATAATGAGGGTGACCGCTCGCAGCGGGCCACCACTTCTACACCACAGGGTGCTCGCACCTGCCTGCCGATCCCCCTTAACTTTATGAGCCAAATCCAAGACATACTAGCACAATGATGGTCAATCCTGCATCTCCCTGGGCTGCGAGACGGGCGCTTTTCTTTTCTTCGGAGGCCGTCAAGAATACTCCGCACAGGCCGCCTCCGAATCCCAAAACCTGAACTCTGGGCTCTGCCTTGGACGGTGGCTGAAGAGATGTTTGCTGAGTACAGCAATTACTTTTCTGGGGGGGGAGTTTTTCCAAAGCTACTGGCGGACATTTGAGCTGCTGTACTCCATTCGGGAAAACAGTCTCTCTTAAAAAGTCCTGCCCGCTTCGCCACGCAGGTGGCGAGGACCGCGAGGACATGTGTTCCAGGACTTTGGGATTCGGCAAAATAAGACCACCCTTCGGTTCGTGCCCTGGCCCTCCCATGCCTTCAGCACCGGAGGCACCCAGGCTTACACATGCAGATTCCAGGCGCCTACTGCGGAACGTGCAGGCCCACGCAAGGCAAGGCTGAAACCAACCACTATAGCAACGGCGTAATGATGGTAGTGGCGGCAGCGGCAGCAGCAGCGGCAGCAGCAGCGGCAGCAGCAGCGGCAGCAGCGGCGGCAGCAGCGGCGGCGGCAGCAGCAGCAGCAGCAGCAGCAGCAGCAGCAGCAGCAGCAGCAGCAGCAGCAGCAGTCCAGTTGCGCCTGATTCTTGTTGTGCAACAAACGCGGTCGTGGTGACAAAAAGGTTAGGCGCTGCATAAACCAAGCACAAACTAGTGAATCACAGCATTATTGTGCACATATGAAGTCCCCAGTAACCACATTCATGCCCGCGAGCTTCCCAAGTACGGAAACTTGTTAAACACTCGAGTATTGTATGTCTAGCCTTGACTCGGTCATAACGTTTGCATGACATTTCTGCCCCGGAATCGGCACGTGCGCTGCCGATCTGAATTACAGAGCGGCTGGAGCTGCGGGCCTTCAGAGGTGTTAGACTGGTGCAGGAGGAGCTTTATGTCAAACTAATCGGTTGTTTTGAGAAGCTGAGCCACTTCTTCGAATGCTTATAATATCACTGCCGAGTCTAACAGCTTCAGCTACAGCCGGGAGGCCGCCAAACAGCGGCCACCCGGGGAACCACCCATCCAAAAATCGTGTCGACCCGGAGAAGGGCCCTCACCTGTGGGCGTGCCCGTTGTGGAGATCCTCTTCACCCGAACCGGTATCACCGGTTTCCGCTTCACCGGGGTAGGGGGCATAGCAGTGCTCGTGGTCAAGCAGGACGAGGCCGATGGCAGCGGCACCAAGGAGGAAGAGCAGCAGTGTCATCAAGGAGCTGAGCAATGGTGAGCTGCTGTCTTTGCGGAGGTGGGACACTGCTGGGCCCAGCTCTGTGGCGGCCACGAAGAGGAAGACGCCTGCACCTCCTGCCATGATGGATCCCTGCACGCCGTTGCTGGTCTGCGCCGAGTAGGCGATGACCGCACCGAGCACAGCCCCCAAGCCACTCAAGAAGTTCAAGAGCGTGGCCCAGGTCCACTTCAGCCCGGCTTTTCGTACAAGGACGAAGAAGTCCGCCATCTCTTGCGGGACCTCATGTGCCAAGCTGGCCAACACCAACTTCCAGCCGAAGCTGGAGCCGCAGGCACGAAAGGCGGCCCCGATCAGCATGCCGTCAGCCAGGTTGTGGAACAAGTCCCCCAAGATCACCGGCGCAGCGACGGCCCAATCGCTCTTCAGCGGCTTCTCCTCCAGCCCTTCCTCCTTCACCTCTTTCACCTCATCGGCCGCGGTTTGCGGCGCCGCGCGCCCTCCGCAGCACCCCAGGAGCTCGACCACTCCGCCAATGTGGTGGGTTGTGGCACCCAAGACCCAGCCCAGGATGATCATGGAGCCCCAATATGCTGCAGCAGCCGCCTCGCCGCTGAAGGAGGCACCGAGCATGTGGTGGGCCTCTGGAAGAAGCAGGAAGAGGGCAGCCCCAAACAACACCCCGGACGCCGCGGCGTTGACAAAGTGGATGATGGTGCTGACCTTCTCGCTCAACCTGCCCTTGCAAGCACAGCACAGCAGGCCAATCCCCATAAGAGTCGGCACACATGCAAGGAAGGAAGCTGCGAGCACCTCTCCAATCCCACCGGACTCGAATGGCTCAACAGAGCAAGATGCTGCGGACTGGTCTGCCGCAGCAGTCATGTCCTCGCCCTCCTCGTTGATCAGGAACTTCTCGAGTCTGTCTGCGAACTCCGTGGGAAGGTGCTCGGCGAAGAACGCGAGGTTAGTCTCCGCCTCCGCCTCGATCTTGAAGACGCTGACCCAAGAGTCGACGTCGAAGTTGAGGACGTATGCGTTGTTCGGCCGCAGGACGGTGTTGGTGGTCGCCTGGATGAATGTGCCTGCCCACGCTGTGGCGGCTGCCCCTTCTTGCTCACGGATTCCTGAAACATCTGCGTGCCAAGCTTTGCGAATGACCAGTTTCATAGTGGCGTTGGCATAGGCACCGCCCTTCTTCTCACTGCTCCACAGCAAGTGGCCACCCTCGTGCACATGGTACACGCCTACCCACTCCCACAACTCTTCCCACGGGCAGGTGAGGGCCTGACCCATGCCCAGCAGCAAAGCCAAGGAAGCAGCCCGAACTGCCATGGCTGCGTGATTACCCTAGGCTCTGCACTGGGAAGGATGCCTCGAGACGTACAACTTTGCAGAGCGACCTTGACCTGAACCCTACGCTCGACACGCATGAACATCTACAGTATATCCGCTAAACCTACAAACCCTGAACAATGAGCGATAACACCCTGAACGCCCGCCAAACATCCTACAACAAACCCCAGACCCGAAAACGCCGAACCCTCTCTTTCCCGAGTGACTTAGGGAACAAGGCCCAGGCATCAAGTTGACCCGGCCCAGATGCTCGTCTGTGGCCGCCTCAGCAAAGTCATCGGGGACCGGCGGCTCTGGCTAAGAGTCTTTTGGGGCCTTCAGGGTTTGAGGCTTAAAGTTTCGGGCTTTCGTGTTTTAGGGCTTCAGGGTTTTGAGGTTGGGGGTGTTTAGGGCTGGGGTGTACGTCACCAGATGTCACGTGGAAGCTGCCCAGGTATAGACGTTGAGGCTACCCTTCGGCTGGGGCTTTAGTGCAGGAGTTTGGAGTTTAGGGCCCAGGTTTGTGAGGGGCATCAGAAGTTTCCAGCTGTTTCCAGCTGTCCCAGACCATCCCCCTGCGGGCTCTAAGACTCTAAAACTGTCGGGGGGGGGGGGGGGGGGAGATGCTCGGGAGGGGTTTCAACTCTCCGTGTCCCCGTCACTAAGCTTCCCACCCCATTCTGAGCGACGTTCTGAGGATCATAGGAGCCGTCGGCAACTGCGCAGTTGGTTGCAGGGGCTGGTGCAAAACTCTATAAACCCAGAAGCCCTGCAAGTCCTAAAACCCCGTCAACCTGGCAGCCTACTTAACTCCCGCTGCCTGTGCATGCCACCTCAGGAACCTTCACGGTGCTTTTTCAAACCGGGGCACATGGCGTGAATGAGGGTTCTGGCAGCTAAGTTTACGGCACATGGGTCGGAACCTCAATCTCAACAGCAAGTCCTCTCAACCCCCCAACTGCCCCGAACGCTGCGAATCCATACGTCTCTGGGCCCCAAACCTCAATAGCCGCCTAAACCGCTTTTCTGAGTCGAATGAGCATTTCGGATAATTTATGCCACAACTATATGAAGATTGCCACAGGATGATGTAGATGCTGAATAATTTAGGCTCCGGTTGTTTGGAAGCTTTTTTCCCTTGGGGCTGTAGGGCTTCTGGGCTCTCTGAAGCCTTAAGCCTTCAAGGGGTCGGCCCTCTCTCGAGGTATAGAGCTTCGGGCTGAGGTCTCAGCACATCGAAGCCAGGGACTTTGGGTGATAAGAAACGCCTGCGTTTTATTCTTGGGTGGGTGCAAAGCCACAGTGCGGGCCTAACTTCAGCTGAAGCTTCCTTCCTCGGTAGTACGCGACCTGCCCAAGAAATGTCCCAGCTTGGGGCCGGGGGCTCAGGGGAAGCGAGGGGGGGGGGGGGATTGAGTTCCCATGCCACGGGTTGCTTGAGTTTGGGGGCGTTGGGGAATCAAGCTTTGGTCTGCTGTCGTGCGCCACCAAGGATACATGATTTTGAACTTCCCGCCTCCCGTCCATGGCCCACTTGATTGCTGTTTGTGTGCTGTGCTGCCAGGACTTGGCTGCGCCAGGTACGTAAAGTAGGTCGTTCAATGCATGTTCAAGGCTCTCTCTGCGTCGGGCCTAGAGCTGTAAGAGAAAGCACATTTCAGGTGGAATACGCTTCAGCACCTGGGCTTCTAAGTGGCTCTGTTTGTGGCTTATAGGTCGCGGGCTCAAGGCTTGAGACGCCTTGAGCCCTAAACCCGACCCAGGGTGCGGGGTCTCAGGAATGAGGGCCTAGGACTAAAGGTTGAGGGTACCTTCCTCAAAGTCCTGGGGGCTTCGGGCCACATTCGAATTTAAGTCCAAGTAGGCTGCTTCCTGTGACCACCCGCCTTCAATGCGACTTGAGATGTGACTTAAACATGAAGTGGTGAGTCAAAATTGCGAAGATGATGTGACGCATGGTGTTGCGACGAGTGATGTTGTGAGATGATGTCGAGTGACAGGCCGATACAAACGTGCAACGATGCGGCGATTAATCATGTGGTAGGTACTGTCACAGGGGCGAAGAGTGATTTGGCGACGTGGCATGCGATGACAACCTACGGCGATGCCATAGAAGAGAAGACGTGGTGAAATGTCGGCGGCACCCCTTGCACTGCGATGTGGTGATGTGCCCACGTTGACTGGACTGTATCAACCATATCACCTTCCAGCCGCCACCCACCCCCCGACCTCCCCCTCCATTGAATCAGTTGAGGGGAGGGCGGGACGGGTTGCGTTCGTACACTGCGAAGTGAACATTACGGCGTCTTGCTGCGAGCCAGCTCGCAACCTCAACCTACCCCTTAACCCTAAACTTGAAACCTTCAACCCTAAACCATAAACTCTCTTGAAGCTTCAAATTCCTGAGCCCCAAACCCCAAACCTTGAACCCGAAACATCCCAAGCCCCACACCCACCCCGGAAGCTGGGCTAAGCGGGCCAATCCATGCCTCGTCGAAAACGAGGCTCTCTTCGCCCCCCGAGTCCGGGCCTGAGGATTTGCTGGGGGCGGCGGGTGGGAAAGATGGGGTTTAGGGTTTGGGGTTTGGGGTTCGGGGTTTGGGGTTTGGGGTTTGGGGTTTAGGGTTTAGGGGTCATGGGATGTCATGGGGGTTCAAGGTTTAGAGTTACCTTGCCATCGAGAGGAGGGTCCCACATCCACACCCGGTTCTGAACTAAATCAATCGTTAATCGCATGGTCCCTTAGTATGGGCCCTGACATGGCAACCCTTTACACCCCTTATAGACCCTATTTAACCCAAGGGGCCATACTTTAGAACCCGTTAAAGAAGGTAAGGGACCGCCGGCGTCTGCAAGCCCAACCTTCATGTATTACACTTCCCTGCGCCCTAAGCCCTCAAACCCTAAAGCCCTAAAGCCTCAGCCCGAAACCCTCAACACTCAACCCTCAACCCGAACCTGAACCCTAAACCCCAACCACACCCTGGGCACCAGGAAGGTGCCAGCCCAGGCCCGGAACCTGCTCCACCCAGGTTGCTGTTTTCCACCTGGCATCGGAGGCTCACGTAGCGACTGTCAGCGATCCATACGCTGAGCCTCGCTAGCTATTACGATTTAGGGTTAGGGCGCAGGGAAGTGTGGGGCTTCAAGGTTTTACACGGCGTTCTTCTTTAAAAACACATGTAAATGCCTAAAAATGTTACATGGCTTCAACAACCCAACAACCCTACTTGAAGGCCCTATTAAACCACCTCCGCGAAGGATCGTGCCCGGTTTGCGATGGTACATACATGGAAACTCTCCGCGGCCACCGGGCCCGAAGGTTTAGGGTTTAGGCTTTGGGGTTTTGGGTTTAGGGTTTAGGGTTTAGGGTTTAGGGTTTAGGGTTTAGGGAGCAACCCTGCGCCGATTCGGATCATCAAGTACGCGGGTCCGACCATGGAGAAAGATGGATACCAGAAGGCTCGGCTGGCTTTGGAGTTGGGTATCTACACGGGGGGCCTTCATCCACAAACAACCCCCAGATGTGAGAGGATTGCGATTAGGAGTTTTAGGTTTCGAATCCCTCACAGCACTAACACTGCGGAGCTTGCCTGGTTCAGGAGCAGCTTCTGAACGCCATCTTCGCACCTCCACAATTCGCCGCGCTGGTTCGGGCATAGGGGGCGTCTAAGGTCCGGGGCTTTGGGTGCCAAAAACACCCGACTGGCGCCGAGGCGTCCTGGCAAGAAGAATGGGGAGCGGGGCCCCCACTCGCCGCTGACGCGCGCGACGAGCGCCAGTGATGTCAGGAGCAGCAGGGGCACCTTCTGTCTCATGGGTTCGTGTAGCGTGTAGGGATGCTTCTGCTTATGGGGGCTTGTCACACAAGCAGGGCTTCAAATCTTTGGGTGGGTTTGATATGGCTTGGAGCGTTCAAACGGCCATGGGCCCCTGTAGCCTCTAGGAAGGTCATGAAGTTTTGAGGACTCAGCCACAACCAAACCTCATAGATCATATTTTAACACCTTACACAGCCCTACCAACAAACCTGAAGAATAAGAAACCTAGACAGGCCCGAAAGCCTTACACACCCTCAGCCCTAAACTTTCTAAACCCTGGCACTCCTGAAAGCTGTCACCGTAAACACTCAATCTCAAGGGTGGGTTGAGGTCTTCGGGTTCCCCAAATCAAGGATTTTGGGGTTTAGGGAGTTTAGGGTTGAGGGCTTAGGGCTCCCCAAAACCGGATTCCACCGACGGACATTCTGAGGCCCGGAACCCCCATGACGAAGGGCCTGTGCGGGAGGCCATGGGGCTCAACCCTTTGGGACCTGTTTAGGGTTTAGGGCTTGTTCAGGGATTAAAACGACGGGCTTAGGCTTCAGGGCGAGCTCAAGGATTGGGGAACAGAACTAGAAGTTCGGAGCTTAGGGCTTTGGGATTTTTCGAGCCTGAAGGACTCCCCTTTGGAGGTCTTATCCTGGGCGTATTTTGAGCGAACAGTTTTTGTTGCTTTTCTTTCCACCCTGCTGTCTTGCCAGAGTCCTGCACCAGAGCCCTGGAGAAGTGCACAGTCCCTAAGCTGACTAGCTAAGTCTGGTTCATAAGTTCGTGATCTGCATATAGTGGCTGTGAAATTTCTGCATGTAGATACAGCATGTGGGAGGATCCGCCATCGCCTTTACCTACTATGTCTTGCTTCCATTGCCTCTCCACCAAGAGTGGCATTGAAGCAACTTCCTCCTGTCGAAACCGGACGGCTCATCCTTGCCGTTGCTTGCCTCATGGTCGATCTCTTGGCTGGTGGCTGGGCTTCTATTACCTTGTGCTGCTGGAGCTTTTGCATCTCCTCGTGTCTGAGGGTTGAGAAGCTGAGAAGCATTCCAATTGACCTTTCCCTGGATGGCTCAAGGCTTCCAAGGTGATTCGTGCTCCTGAGACCAGCTTCCACTGACACAGGGACGTGATGACGGCGCCATGACTGTATGATTCGACTCTAGAGGGCATTTAGGCTGTTGGGCTTAGGGTGAAATGCCTTGAATTGCGCTCCCCCACAAGAAAAAAACTTAAAGGCTCCTTCGCCCCAGTCTTGAAACCCTAAACCCCTTTAGGGCTTGGGGGGGTTCCGGAACTCCACCTCTAGGACCCTCGGAGCTTCACCACACCCCTGGACCTCTGCCGCTTGGTCGCGTCCGGTCGCGCGGCCTTTGCGCGCAGCCCCGTCCTATGCTGGAGCCGAAGGGGCAAAATGCCGATGGCCTTCAACGAGTTGTAGAACCCTCCTGTAACCACACCCTGAACCCTAACCCTCAACCCGAAACCCCCATGACCCCAAACCTCTCACAAAGGCTCGGGCTGGGCAAGAGCCGAAGCTCCAAACCTTCCTACAAACCAAGCCCTTAAGGCCTTCACCCGAGCATGCAAAACAACATGCAACACAAGGCCCTCAACCCTCAAAAAGCCTTCTGGACAGGCTCGAAGGGTTCGAGAGGGCTATGAAAGATGCGTCATTTGGAAACCCTTGCCAACCTACTTATGAGGAGAGGACGCCGGGTAAGCAGTACCAAAGCTCGCCCTTCGAACCCAGACATCTCGACTCCTGAAGGCTTCTGGGACATCTTGGCTCAGGTGCCGCCGAGTTTTCTGGGATCCTTGCAGTATGATCCTACGCCTCGATATTGCTTTGTTCAGGGGCTTAAGGGCCCCTTCTGCCGCTCCCTTTTTTTGATGTCTGGCATCAGTTTTTGGGCTGCCAGCGCCGGCGTGCCTGCGAGTGGCCTGCCCAGAACGGCGCTTGGGACTGCGGCTTTTGGGGCTTTCTTGGGGATTTTGGGGCTTTCTTGTGGCGGGGTTTTGGGGCTCTTGGGCACGGGCTTAGTGAATAAGGTTTAGCCGAAACGTGTGACTTGTACCCGGGGCTCTAGTTGTGTTTTGGAGTTCGGGATGGAGCCTGGAATCCTGGCCTTCCTCAAGCCACTCCGCGAATGCAAAGGGTTTCGGGTTGAAGGGTTAAGGGTTGAGGGTTTAGGACGTTTAGGGTTTAGGGTGTAGGGCTTAGGGTTTAGGAAGTTTAGGGTTTAGGGTTTAGGAAGTTTAGGGTTTAGGGACCCCCCCAACCCGCAGAAGGTGGTCCACCCAAGAGAACGCACAACAAATTGCAATGCCTGTGCTGTCGACAGCTGCCGGAACCCAGCCTGGCAGTCAAGGCCATGGCCCTAGAAATTCGAAAGACATGCAAAGACAGACTCAGATTTCGGCCCCCTAAGCTTTATCCCCTGGAAGCCCGAAAACCCTAAAGCCCTGAACATTCCAACCCTCAGCAACAGTCGGCCTTCCACATCCAAGCCGCGCTGCGCTTTGCCCTTCTCCTTTCCTTTGCCGTCCTCCGGCTGCTGTCGGGTTTCTGGGGTTCGGGGCTTTGGGTGTGGGCCACGGAGAACCCCTCCCATCAGCGCAGGGTCCCCTTCTGGGAAGCTTTTCCTAAAGGACCGCTCTGCAAAAGGGACCTGTAAAGGGATCCTGAATTCTAACAACCGCCAACTACACACGACCCCCAAGGCTCCTACCCCCAACTCCTCGAAACCTCCAGACACTTCATTCCGGACGGCCCAATATGGGGGTTTACGACATTCGGGGGTACCTTAGGGTCCATATTCGGGGTTTCTGATTATCGTAAACCCCCATAAGCCCAGGTCGACTTCGCATTCCGGGCTCAAGGCACATGTCCTGCACTCTGCAATCACAGGGCTCAGGGTTCAGGGCGCAGGGCGCAAGGCTTGGGATGGTGGTGCAGCGGAACTAGTTTCTCAGGCTCACGAAGAAGGCAGCAAAACCCTGTCCTTCCACTTTCCCTTCTCCTTTCCCTTGCCTGGCAGGGCGTGACTGGGTCAGGGGAGAGCCTCCCCAGAAGTGGCTTACTCCAACCCTGCTGACAGCACTGCGTCGCAAGTAACACTATCGCTGCAGCTTGCTTCCAACCTACTGGTGCAAAGATCTGTTTTACGTGGCGACATGCATCTTCACAGGTATCATGGCAATTCACCCTCGCAACTTGGATCTGTTAAGATCAATTCGTTGTCTCGTTCTGCTCTCGGCTTCGGCTTTTTTTCTGAGCTGAGGCATGAGCTTATGGAGTGTTTCCCATCAGTGGCCCCACTGCAGAAAGACAAACGAGGTGACCCATGAACGAGTGTGCAGCTATGTGCATACTTCAGGGTGTTAAGGTCGGGGGTTGGAGTCTATAGGGTGTTTAGGGTTGAGGGTCTAAGCTTTTAGGCTTAAGATGAGGATTAGGGCTTGGGCATGGCTTGGGGCAAAGGTGCCAACTTGTCATTTCCTAACACCGCGTTGTCCACGGATATGATTCAGACATTCTGCAAGGAAGTGGTCCAATCTCAGAGCTTTCTTTGCCGAGGCTTGCGGCGCAGCGTGTGGAAGCCCCTTTGTGCAGAGTTTTGATACTTCTCTGAAGCCGGCACTTCTCCAATGTCTTGGGTACGCTCGACTCACCTAAACCCTAAACCCTAAACCCTAATCTCTAAACCCTAAACCCTAAACCCTAAACCCTAAACCCTAAACCCTAAACCCTAAACCCTAAACCCTACCGGCCTTTTCCCTTGCCTTTGCCTTTGCCCTTGCCCTTCTCGCGCTGGGCGGTGGGCGGAAGGATCTCATCCGGGCCGGAGGGGAGCTCCCGGCCCAACTCCTGGGTTCTGGATCTGGTTTCTGGAGTACATCCCTAAACCCTAAGCCCTAAACCCCAAACCCTAAACCGGCATGTCAATTTGAGCCACGGCCTGGTCTTTGCTGAAGAACCGAACGAAGCGCTCGCAAAAAGAACAACTGCGAACGGAAACCCAAGTCTACCCTAAACCCTAAACCCCAAACCCATGACGCCCATGACGCCCATGACCCCCATGACCCCCATGACCCCCATGACCCCCATGACCCCCATGACCCCCATGACCCCCATGACCCCCATGACCCCCCCCCCCCCCCCCCCCGCCCCCCCCCAATACAAATTCTGTGCCACCACGGCACACGCTCCAGCTTGGCTTTGAGCTTCTGGAGGATGAGGATGGAGCCCTTGATGCGCTTCTGGATTTTCTGGGTGGGGGGATGCTTCTGGGCTCCCTAAACCGGGAGGTGGCAGCCTGTGAAAACGCAGGTAGGCGGCCTGAACCTCTAAAACCTGACCAGCGCTACTGTAGGAAGAGGCTGCTGAAAACACTGCGGGCATCGGAAGGGGGAGATCACTAAAGTTAGAAAATGCAACCAGGCTGCATCTGATCCTCAGAAAGCTTGCTACAAGATTAGTGCTGCCAAGGTTTTTTGGGCTAGGAGCTGAGGGTCTTTGGCGTTGAGGTCGTGATTAGGGCCGAGCATGGGATAGGTGCTCCAAGACGCCAGCTTCTGCGGTGACAGCTTGTCCCAGTAGATCCCGGTCGGCTTCGGCAGACTCCGCTCCACCCGAATTGTCCTGCATGGGCTGAATCCGGGTTCATCACTGCCTTAAAGGGCCAAGGCACCGATTCCGGGGCCCCTCAAGTTTGTTCAATCTTTTCTGGGCATTTTGGGGCGGTGCTGAGCCCGCAACCCTAAACACTCCCCCCTAAAGACACTCGCTTTGTTTGGGACCTGAGGCTATTGGAACTTCAGGGGTGCACGGGGATTACCTTCTTTAGATTGCTCCGGCTTAAGGGGCTTGGAGTTTGGGAGTTGGGGCTGCCACTTTCCCCCTCTCCCCTGCGATCTTCTCTCCTGGTGGGTGTGCAGATGATGTCCACGGGAACATCATGGCACAGCAGCTTCTCCTTGTTTGCAACAAGAGAGCAAGGGTCCTCTTGTCACTTCCGCAACACGAAACACCCAGCAAACCCAATGTGGAGTCCACGCCAGTTCCGGGTATCCAGGCGGGTTGGAGCCTAACTCACCAGGGTTGATATGGGCTGCAAACTTTGGGGGCCCGAAAAGTTTGGAGGCTGTCAAGGCCTAGCATTCACGTCTTTGAAACGTATGGCGGGGGCTGCTTAAAGCGCTTCGTTTTGGAGTCTAGGCGCCGCAAGGGGGTTTAGTTGGAGGTTCATGGGTTTAGTTAAGATAGCTATAGTCTTGGCCAGCTATTAGGTAGTGTCTGGTTGTCACTAGTTATTGTCCGGCTGGTTCAGTATCTTACCTCAACCCATGACCCTTGAATCGGGGCTTAGGTGGCCCAATCTTCGCCAGGGCGGCGGAAGGGATATCATCCACCAGCTGGCAGTCGTGGATGCAGCTGACCACCTTGCAGTGCTGAGTCGTGGGACCATACTGCAGTGTAAGAAATATGTAGATATATGTAGTCTACACCGGGTGTTCCTTAAACCCAAGAGGCCACTCTTCGGTGCCATCGTTCCACCCTTGTTTGTTAAGAGGGTCCAACGGGGTCAAGCAGTCTTGATTGCGCCAGGGACTGCCTCATGCACGCTGCCACGATCCCTGCTGGTTGCATCCGGAGGGCGGGGGTGTCGTCGTCAACAGCGCCCATGAGGCGGAGCATGCCATACTCCAGCTCCGCGAAGCCTTTCCAGGAAAACATGTGTAAATGACTCGTATGCAGCCTCTACATGCCCATAACTTGCTCTGACAGCAGCCGGATCCTTCTCCCTTGCCCAAACGAGCGCCGTTGGCAGGGTTCACGGCCACGGAACCGATGATCACCATATCGACCTCCCAAGGTACCCCGCAAGAGCCCTCAGGTCTGGGGCTTGGGATTGGGACGTGAAGTGCGGCGGCGCATACGGCTTGGGGCATGTCGAGGTTTGAAGTGTAGGGTGTCAGCGTATCAAGGCCATGGATCCCAGAAGATTCGAAAGCGGGTCTTCTGGCCGACCAGCGTTGGGGGCTCTTCTTCGGGTCCCACAAGTACCACTCCCAGGTAAATGTTGTTCTGCGTTGAACATCTCCGTACCGGCTATCTCTGGTGAGTTCTTCTTCTTCTTCTTCTTCTTCTTCTTCTTCTTCTTCTTCTTCTTCTTCTTCTTCTTCTTCTTCTTCTTCTTCTTCTTCTTCTTCTTCTTCTTCTTCTTCTTCTTCTTCTTCTTCTCTTCTTCTTCTTCTTCTTCTTCTTCTTCTTCTTCTTCTTCTTCTTCTTCTTCTTCTTCTTCTTCTTCTTCTTCTTCTTCTTCTTCTTCTTCTTCTTCTTCTTCTTCTTCTTCTTCTTCTTCTGCTTCTTCTTCTTCTTCGTCTTCTTCTTCTTCTGCGAGCCTTCAGCTCCGCGTCAAGGTCTATGGGCTCTCCGTACTCCACCACCCCCATTTGAGTACAAGCATAACCTGCAGTTCTTGCGGCAGAACTGAGACTAGTTCAGAAAGGCTCAGGGCTTGGGGGGTCGTTTAGAAAGTTTGAAGCATTGAGCAGTAGAATTCATAGAGTTGGGGAGATTTGGGACTTGGTGAAGGCCTGAAGATGCATTCAGAATTCTGCCAGGAAGCCTCTGGACCCACAGCTCACACACATGCATGTTAATATTCATTACTACTCTCACTACTTCACCCCGAACCCTGAATCCTCCTGATCCTTAAGAACCCCAACCCGTGCACCCCTAAACCCTAAACATTAAACCCTAAACCCTAAACCCTAAACAGCCCAGGATGTCCGCCGCGGCGCCATACTTCTCCGCGGGGATCTTGCCCGGGTCCAGCACACTAAAGAAGCCGGTCCGCAACCTCGTGGCCACAGCTCTTTCGGGGCTTGCAGGACATTAGGGCTCAGGATTTGTGGCTTTTTATGGCTTTCAGGCTTGGGCGTTAGGATTTAGAACTTTTTGGGGCTTAGGGTTTGGGCGTTGAGGATTGAGGCTTTGCCTCGGGGGCTCTTGGGATTTCAGCCGTTACGGGTTTGGGGATTCAAGGCTTCGAACTGCGAGGGTGGACTCGGGTGGGCCTAGCTTCGGATTTCTGTCCTCCATCGCACTCACAACGCTGCCTGTGCTTGGTTTTGACGATCGGCTCCCCGTGCGTTTTCCCCAGCCCCATAGCTAAAGGTATCGTGACTCGTGTAACGTGCACTATTTTTGCATTTTGACGCAAAATTCGTGGTCTTCAAACCTCAAACCCAAAAGCCCGCCTTGGCTGCGGCACCAGAAGCATCTTGCCCGCCCGCAGAACGGAGACCCGGACCTGGGCCCACAGCGCCCTCTGAGGTTTGTAGGGTCTCGAAAGTGTTGGGGGGGGGTATATAGGGGAGCTAAGGGTTGCGAGGGCCCTGAGGCTCCATTTTGGGTATCCCGAAAGCCCGAACCCTAAACCCTAAACCACAAAAGCCCTTTGACAAGACCTTTCGCAGCGCGAAGGCGCCTCTTTCTGCGGCCGGTCGGGGTTCACCTGCATCTTCGCTCGCGCGAGTTCCGGGTTGGGGCGGCAGGGCTTCGGGTCCGGGCTTGGGTTCAGGGTTTTTGCTGCGTTAGGATGTTCGGGTTTCAGGGGTCTAGGGTGTTAGGGTTTTAGGGTTCTAGGGTGTTGGGCTTTCGGCCGGTCAGGGTTGTAGAGCTTTTGGGGTTCTAGCGTTTGAGGGTTCAGGGTGTTAGGTTGCTTTGCCCTGCAGATGCCCGCTCAGTGTATGTCCAGGCCCCCAAGGTTCTAGCTTCGATGCTGGGTGCAACGATTTGCTACAGGAGTCCCAAAAGTTGCCGAGATGACCTTGTCACCCATGTAGAAGCAGAAGATCATGTAAGACGAAAGAGCCCAACATACCAGCCGTAACTCAATAGGCCCCTAAAATTACTCTGCGACTTGTTCGGGACAGATTTTCCCGTGTAAATCGGTGACGGTGCACGGTCTGGGCTTGTGGTCTAAAGGGTTCAGAGTCTCCCTCTGCGCCCCGCAACTCGAACACCGGACCCAGAAAATAATGCTGGTTGGGATTTGGATCATGAGCTCTGGGGTTTAATGAACCCTAAACCCGAAACCCTAAACCCCAAACCCCAAGCCCTAAACACTAAACGCTAACCCTAAAGTTTAGGCCTTGCACCTTGACCCACTTCGCACGCTGAAACTCCTCCAGCTGCTCCACCTGGCAGCTTCTCATAGGTTGGAGATTTTAAAGCTTCACAGGGTTTAAGGTTTAGGGTTTAGGGTTCGTGTGAACATGACGGTACTATCCTACCACAGGTATGGACAATTTGGTTGGCCATGGAGAATTTATTTTGGGGAGGTTGGCATTCTGTTCTGACTTCCCTGTAAGTTGCAGCATCTCGAAACGTTCGACCGCTCAGGATGTTAACTAACTAACCCACGAAAACAAAACAGTTGAATCGAGCACCCCCGCCACATGTCGCCAAGCCACTTAACCAGTAACGTAGGCATCATCTGGGAATTTTGCTGCGGGGGAGTCTCTTGGTGTGGGCTCCAGGGATAGTCTGCGAAATGCCCTCCGGAAAAACAGCTGGATTAACATCCAGCAGCCCCACATTGAGGGTAGGGAACAACAAAAGGCATCCTAAAAACCTGTGGCTCCATTTACGCTCAGAGGCCATGACTGGGGGCTTCAGGCTGAGATTTTACAAGCATGGCATATTTGATGTTTGAACACGGGGCACAACGTCAATCGGTCGGAGGCTGAAGGGGGCTGTTTTGGGCTCACGGTTCGGGGGCTTCACAGCGGCTTCACCTGAAGCAGGGATTCCAACCAAAAAGAAGGCTCTGCAGCATAGGCTCCCACTGCTGCTGTGCATAGCAGATCAAAGGTTTAGGGCTTAGGGCCTCTGGCTTGACATTCCTAGCTTGGTGAACACAATCGCCTTCAAAACATCTACGCAAGGAGATACCCCCCGCTGGCACCCCCGAAGCACCTGCTTTGCGGTGAGCTCCGCCCTCACGAAGTTTGGGATCCGGTGGTGCACCGGCCTCGAAACTTGTTTGCAGGCGGACGTGCGAAGGGGCGGCGGGGTCTTTCCTTGAGGTGCCAAAGGGGCCATCCTTGTCCAGCTTCGCAATCTATTCACCCCAGATCATATGTCTCCTGCCGAAACCCGAAACCCCACCCCCCGCAACCCGAAACCCTGAACACCCGAGAGCTATAGCTCACCCAGTGGCCGGGGGTCGGCGGCGATGTCGTTCTCTTCCATGTAGTCCCAGATCCTGAACTTAGTTGCTCAGTAACCTAAGAATGAACAGGGTGCCCATGTTTTGTTTGGGGTTGCAAGGGATCCGGGTGGGGGAGGCAAGCTTGAAGGGTTCAGGATCTCGCTGTTAGGGCTGACACAAACTAGGATGTGTATGGCTCCGCAACAGCCAGTTTCTTCGGGGGGCTTACTCGTTTCCCTCTGATTGTGGCTTCTATGGAACAGAACGGCCCCTCTTTGCAATAGGATAGGGTTGTCTCTATGCTCTATACAACATGAAAGAACCCACCCGCCAGCCCTCACTGCCGTGCCACAGCATGCAGACGACTCGCACTCTGACGCTTTTCTACCAGCTGACGCGGGAAGACTCGCTGACTAGTGGGCCACCGCCCCGGAGCAAAAAGACCACCGCCATCGTGGATGGCCCGCGCCTTACAAAAGACCCTGAAAGCCCGAATGAGCCCCGAAGATCAAGGCCCCTGAACCCTCAAGCCCTAAACCCTCAACCCTAAACCTTCAACCCTCAACCCTCAACCCTAAACCCAATAACCCTAAACCCTAGACCCTAAAAACCCCTAAGCCGTGAACCCGAAACCCAAAAACCCTAAACACAAAAATTCCAAACCCTCTCCTCTGCCGGATTTTCCACTTCCAGGCACCTCGCTCTCCCGTCTCGCCACGGGCCTCGGCCTCCTCGACGGCCTTGCGTCTTTTGCTGTTGCTGTTTGGGTTTGGGTCGAATGTTTAGGGTTGAGGGTTTAGGGTTAAGGGTTCTGGGTTTAGGGTTAGGGCAGGGTTTAGAGCGGATTAGGGATTGAGGGTTTAGTGTTGAGGGATTAGGGTTGCGGTTTAGGGCTGAGGTTTAGGGATTTTCGGCAACCCGAAGCCTTGTAGGGGAGTTTCCGAAAATTGGGGGCTCCTTGTTGGGGTTTAGGGTTTAGGATGATCGTATTTTGGGGTCTGTAAAGGGGTTCCTGCATTTTGGGAAATCCCATACTTACCCCAAACCTTCCCGGCCTTCATGTGCGCCGACATACCTGAAGTGCAGGAAGTCGTGGGTTTGAGGTTTAACAAAAGCTTAGGGCTCAGAGACTAAGGATATGTTGATGAGTACGGCACCCTGATCATGCTTGAGAATAAGCCCTCATTCACGCACAGCTATCCCACGCACAGGGGCGGCCGCTCCTAGCGTCGGGGTTCCAAGGCTTCATATGGGGCCCAGAGTTGAACTTGGCATTCTTTGCCCAAAACCCCGAAGGTCCGGTGCACAAGACCTGTCTTGAAGGCTTTGAGCTGATCCTTAAGGTACCAGGGTTTTCCTGGCATCTTCTGGCGTGAGGGTGTAGGGATTTAAAGGTTGGGGTTAGGGAGGTTGGGGTTAGGGATTAGGAGTTTGGGCCTAAAGGGCTGAGGGTAGACTAAGTTGTTGAGATACATGTTCCTCTGCGGCCTCGTCTCGGTCTGAACGTAGTTGCTGGGTACCGAAGTCAGACTCAGGTAATTTACCCACTTCTCTCTCAAGCAACAAAGTCACTTAGCTCTTCGTGTGTCAACGCAACTATCTGCATGTAGCTGCTACTGCTCAAGCATGAAAGCCCTTCACCTCCACTTCGCTAATTGGGTCATGGGGAACAGAGAATTTCATACTTGAGGTTGAAGGCTACGGGCATACACCTACATGAACTGGGCCCAGGAGCGTTCGCGAGCCTCCTGGTCGAGACGTAGTCGCTCCGTCTCGCTCTCATGCATGGCTTGCCACAAGGTGACTACTTGAGCATATTGTAACCTTAAGGGCTTAGGGCTTAGGGCTTAAGGATTAGGGCTTAGGGCTTCGGGCTGAGGGCTTAGGGCTTAGGGCTTCGGGGCTTGGGTGTCTTCATCGCAGTGTGCTCGGAGCTTCACGCATGCAGACTAGCCCTCCACCGATAGAGAGCCCCAGAAGAGCTAACTTCAATCAGACGCCCGGAAAGCCATAAACCCTAAGCACCTCAAGCTCCGAAGTTGAGCAAAAGGCTGCTAGTATCTGAACCAAATGAGTCTACGGCTTGAGGCCACAAAGAGCCCATTCTAGAAACGAAGATAACATCCTAAACAAGCAGCAAGCCAGGACATTTCCATCGAACTTTGCACTCTGCGGGTGAATTCATAGCAAAACACAAGTGCCGTTACATTGGAGGCAAAGCAAAGGGGACCTAAATGCACGGCCAAATGCTCAATGGAATGTTTTCGGCTCAGTACATTGGTGAAACTAGCTCCGAGCAGAGGTTTGGGGGCTTAGGGCTTCTGTGGGGGTTTACGAAAATGAGGGGCCCCTAATATAGACCCCCAGATAGCAGGATCCCCTTATACTAAGGACCCCAATAAGGGCACCCCTATTTTCGGAAACCCCCATGTTGCGGCGAAGGTAGGGACCCAAGGGCCATGAAGGATTCGTGATGCGATCCCGATAGGGTTGAGGGTTTAGGGTTTAGGGCTTCGGGTTTAGGGTTTAGGATTTCCCGCCCAACCGAGTTTGGCCCTTAACGAACAGCTGCCACTTCTTCGCGCAGCCACACCTCGTGCGAGCAAGTGCCATGATCTCTTCATGACCACCGAAGACATGAATAACCTCTACAGGATATGCAGAAGACCAGAGCACCCAAGCATGAACGAAACATGCTGGTTCGCTTTAGAGAAAAGTGACTACTGTAATGCAGGGCTTCTTCTGGGACCGACATAATCGCAAGCTTCAGGAGGTGCCTCAGAAACCTGAAGTAGCGGCCAGCATCACAGTTTTTCGCACCGTGCTTGAGAGAGGTCTCGTGCCTCTACTTCAGCGCTGTGCAATCGGCCCGGATCGCCGCTTTTGCGTGGCGAACCCTCACGAGCCCCGCCCCAAGGGGGGCTCCAAGGAACTGTGGGGTCAAAATCCGGCCGCTGTTATTGAAAAGGGCGCCGAGGGGCAGATCGAAACGGGGACGGGAAGCGAGTAGGTGTCCGTGCATGACATCACTGAAGCAGGGGCCCTTCTGAGGGACCCTAGCGTTGGGGGGTGGGGGGGGGGGCGAAATTGCAGCTACGTAGGTGTATAGGGACCGAATGTAAGAGTTGTACACGGTAGCACTTCGTAAAGCCTGGGTTGAACGTCGCACGAACATCAAAATTGCTGAGGGGCTCTCCAGGATATTCTCCTGAATTCTGCGGACTTTGGGCGCGCCAGATCACAGATACCACCCAAGGCCTGCAAATCTTCCAATCTCCTGACTCTTGACTGGAAAGGCAATTTTGAAAAGACTGGAGGGGTCCGTTGCACCACCTCCAAAAGACTGGAGGGGTCCGTTGCACCACCTCCAAACACCTTTCGGACAAGCCTGGCTGCGGCTCCCTTGACAAAGTGTATAGAATCCCTGCCTCACGGGAGGCAACTTTACGGCTGCTCTACATCATGTAGTAGGACTCCTTACAGAGCTCCCCCCGGCCAAGTCCAAAACAAAATCGACATCTTGGAACGCCATGTTAAAGACGGGAGCCACGCTGGGTCAAAGCTCGGCGGGCACCAGCTGCGCTGGGAACGCATGTACTGCGATCGGTTCAGGGTCTGGGGTTGTAGGGTCTGAACCCTTTGGCCTGGGGGCCCTAGCCTTCAAAGGTTCGGAGACAGATTGGGGGATTGAACCCTAGATGCTTACGACCGAGCCATGGGTCCTAAACCCTGAACCCTAAACCGCCCGTATTGTCCGAAACAGGGCGCTGGCAAAGAGCCGCGCACCATTTAAAATTGGTTGTTTGACTCTCCTAGCAAATCATCCGTTGCAGATGTTGCTATAGATCCTACATCGGCGAGTCTTTCGCCCGGACGCGCGATGCACAAATTTTCGCAGATTCAGGTACCTGAGACGCAGAAAGCATGGGTTTCGGGTTGGGTCCTGTCCATAAGTCCCCCCTCCCCCCAAAGGTTTCAACGTGCAGCCGGCCGCCGAACCTGTGAGCCCAGACAACCAAGTCGAGAACAGTTTCGCATTTGGTGAGCCCGTCCAAGTTTCACAGAACATGGGGAACCCCAGACGTCCAAAGCGACGGCGGTCTCGCATTTCGCACACCCACAAGACAAAAAAGGACGGCGAGTGCGGGGCACGCCCGTGCCTAGGCGAGAGCGCGAATTTGATCCGAGCAGGCCTCAAGAAAAAAGCGCATGGTCGGACCCCGCGCGCTTCGGCCCCGGCGCCGCACGGGCCACTCGATCTAGCCTCTCTTACTCTGCACGTTGGAACCCCTTCGTGTCGACAGAGGGTTTGGGATGGGTTTGGGGCATAACTTGCAGGCATGTTGCTGTGGGTGCTGTGGTGGCTGATCGAGCTGCTCTGGTGGCTGCTTGACCTGAGCTCCAGAACCACGCGCCGGTCATCTTAGGGACTTCTAAAGCTTCGGCTGCTCCAGGTGAAAGGCTACTCGGCTACCAGACTTCCACCCAACCAGAGGCTGTTTGCAAAGGGTTTCTCCCCAGTTGGAAAAGGGTCAGTGGCTTATGATGGGCTTGAAGGAGCTATCCAAGTAGCCTTCCAGAACAACAGGCTTCGGGGGTTTGGGAGTTGAGAGTTTAGAGTTCAAATCGATGCCAGAGTTGAAGGGGCTGGCCAGAACTACCATCAAAGCCAACCCCTCAACTTCACCTGAACACATCAAGAATAGAGCAAACATCCCTTTAACCCTCAGCTCAAAAGACGGCCTTGAACAAAAGAGGGCCATCAACCCGAAAGCACAGGCCCATGGCAGCCTCAGCCCTAGCTGTCCTGACTTGCCCCAACTGGCATCCAGGGCACGTGCCATTCTCAGCGTCTCCCCTCTTCCCCAGAGCGCTTTTCAGCGTGCTCTGGATCCTCGCTGGAAACACCCAGTGGAAAACTGCAAAAATGCGCCCCAAACCCAAAGATTCAATGATCCCTCAGCCCGGAAAAAGCCGAAGACAGAAACAGCACCGACCGCTCGGAAGCATCGAGGCTCCGCCTAAAACTTGCCTCTCTGGGCGCGCAGGTGAGTGGAGTGGGTGGGGCCAGGGGAAGAGGACAGGGTCACCTGCTGCTCTCAGACCAAGCTTTGAAACACGGCAGGGTGCAGGCAGTTGCGGTCCGGCAGGCTTAGGATTCAGGAGGTTTCGGGGTTTGCAGGTTGGGGCTTTACAGCTTGAAGCTCCTAGTGATTCTACGAGTAGCCTTAGAGATGTAGGAGTTCTGGCTGTCCTCTTGCTTGACCCCTCCACCCCACAAACCGAATCTCAAGAAAGCTCTCACACGAGCTGCCATGTCCGTGGCTTTCGCGTGTGGCCAAAAGGCCGAAGAAACACTCGGAGAACTGGCTATGGCCCTCGACCCCAAACCCCGAACGACATCACCCAATCCCCCGGCCGAGCTACGTCCGCTGGATCATCCTCGGAGCAGGGGTCGCTTTGAAACAGGTGATTTCGGGCGCCGAACCCGAAACCGGAAACCTTTGGGGCGGGCTGCGGGTGGGGCTCTTCAGGCTGTTTGCGCGAAGCATCCTCAAGGGGGTTTCACAATCTCAGAAAATCAAAAACAAAAAACAGCCGTTTGCAGAAAGGCCGAGCTCCTACACCCTGGGGATGGCGACGGGAAGCAGTACTCTTACAGGAAAACAAAGTGCGGCCAGGCGTCTTCTCCAGATGATCCTTCTCGTCAGTCTCCTTCTCTGGCCACGGCAACGAAGGATCTGTTTGACCGCCGAAGCGCACGATCTGATCCTCGGCAGGTGGGAGGGTATGGGCAAAAGGGCAGAAATGGTGGGGGGTCCCCAAGCACATTGCTTCCGCCTCGACCACGCGGCGGCCTCAACCCGAAGTGCTAGGATCTTTTCTTTGCCGCCTTACCCCCCCTGGACAGAAGTTGTTTGCTCATTGAGCCCCCTCTGGCACTTAATCACAGCAAACCCCTGAAAACAAAACCACGAAAACGCCAAAACCTCAACCCATAAACCCCAAAGCCCAACCCGGACCTAAATCGATTTGAAAGCCTACAAGGCCCAACAGCCCACACAGCCCGCAACAGTAAGACCTCAAAGACGCATCAAACCCTAAAAACCCTCAAATCCCAAAACCCTAAACCGCTAGTCTATGACCCGAAAAAAAAGAAGCCAAACCGACTCAACTAAACCCCAGAAGACCCAGATCCGAAATCCCCCCCTCCATCCCAAAAAAAAGATAGCAAATCGATAGTTGGAAGGAACCATAGAGAACCGCGAAATACTCCAATATAGGGGCCTTAATCATTAGAACCGGGCTTTGGGAGGGGTTATTATAGTATAGTAGATTTATAAAGGAACCACAAGGGAATACTAGTAGTAGTTATTCCGAGCCCTATATTAATCGCCCGGCTTGGAGCCTTGGCGATGGGATTATCAAGGGCCGGCTCGAAGACTTTCACACCTCCCGCGAGGCCGATGTCGCCTGGAGGCCAGAGAGTTTCGGATGTCGGGTTGGAGGAGTTTAGGGTTTGGGGTTTAGGGTTTAGGGTTTAGGGTTTAGGGTTTAGGGTTTAGGGTTTAGGGTTTAGGGTTTAGGGTTTAGGGTTTAGGGTTTAGGGTTTAGGGTGTGCGACGGCCTTCGCCGAAGTCCACCCGCCGATCCAGGGACAGCGAGGCCATGAATCTCTTCCAGCGACTCGAGCTGATGCCCTGCTCAGTGGGGGAAGAGGGGGTAGAGACGGTGGATGACTCGCTTGGCCAAGATGCAGTTAGCTTGGAGCCTTGAGGGAGCTATTCAGATGTTCCCCACCCGAGGGCCCTTCACTGAGGATTGGGCCCTGGTGCGAGGTGGGTTTCAGAGGTCTTGGTGATGAAAGGGTTTAGAGGAAGCGGAGGTTCAGGAAGTTTAGGGTGCAGCCCTCTGAGAGAAAGTGGATTTTGAGCAGCACGGTTCTCGGAGAACCCCTACCCAAAGGTGGTCGGGCAAGCCAGGGGACAAGAGGATATTCTTGGAATTCGAGGGCCTAACTAAGCCTGGACCCTGAACCCTAATTTTGGGGAGTAGGAATCTGCTCGCCAGCCTTCAGCGTTTCCATGATGATGACGCCCCTCTCCAACCTGTCTCTGAGGTTCAGGGTTCTAGGGCTCAGGGAGCTGGAAATTGGGAGCCCTCAATTCTTAAGACGCTAGAACCGGGGGAATTCCTCAGGTCCCTGACCTTCGAACACCGGATTAAGCTCCAAGCTTCCCGACTGCAGCTTCTCCAACTGCAGGCTTTAGAAGTTTCGAAGCTCGTCTGCGCTACGGGTCAAGGTTTCAGGCTTGCGGGTGGCTGCTCTCCATCGTATTTCTGCAGCCCGGCCGTGCTGTTTTTGGCAAGCCTGAGGCACGTTCCCGTGGTTTTGGCGGGCCTGACACCCTAATATAGGGGCCTGAATAATTAGAATGGGGTTTTTTGTTTTTTTGTTGGGGGCGGGGGGGTTCTTGGAGTATAATTAGAAAGGGACCAGAAGGGACTACCACTAACATTTATTCCGACCCCGATATTAACCTCCAGTCCTCCAGGCCACAGGCATGCACCGCAAAGGAGACGAAGCATTCCGGCTCAAAGCTTCGCAAGCCACAAGTGCCAAACAGATTCCCAAAATCAAACGGGCCTTGAGGGGAGTTGAGGGGCTCTGACTGGAGGCCTACATCGCATAGTAGCAGAATCCCATAACCCCGAATTGGCGTGTTCAGGCCTGGCGTGGCCCTGAATGTTTTCAGACAATGCCATGTAGACGCCACAGAACTGCCTTGGCACCAGGGTGTCATGGGTATGGGGCTTCAGAAGTGACTTTGTAGTTTTCGTCGGGTCTTGCTGTGGAAACCTAACCATGGGGTTCAGGGGCCTGCATCGCTCGTGAGCCCATGACCTGTTCGGCCGGTGCCACAAACGAGTCGCAAATCGAAGCAAATCACTGGGGCTGCTTCGGTTAGCACCTGAACGTCCCTTCCCAAACTACAACAGCCACAGGTTTTGAAGTAAAGGTTAACTGCTCTCTGAAGCACCCCTCAGAACCCAACATAGAAACCGTGCCATGCATCCCTTTCACTCTTGTTCCCGTCCAAATGAACCTAACTTCGGGGGCTCTTAGACAACCGTCCCATCCGGGTCTAACCTTTCGCGCTTCGTCACATCACACCTTCAGACCCAACCTCTGTACCCTCGGAGCTAGAACTCAACCACTGATGCACGTCACACCCTTGGAATCGCCCCTTGAAAGTCACTAACCACTGATGGACACCAACAACCCTATCATCCTGGCCTAACCGTTCACACCGAAGGATCCATCATCCAGGAAGCGTTCAACCTCACCAGCCTTCTAACCTTAACACTTCCTTCGCTCTGCACCGTATCATTCAGGCGGGCTGCGCCACCAGCAGGTTGTAGAAGCAGGTGTACACCAAGACGCTGTACAGAATAATCGCCTGCACTTCGGCACGTCGTGAGAAGGGAGGCCTGAGCTTCTTAGAGTTATTAGAGTTGGTTCGAGGGCTTACAGTAGGGTGCAGGCTTTCAGTTTGGGTTTGCCTTAAACTAGGTTTAGGCCATGCCTCTAAGGGGCGAATCTACGGACGCCGACCCTGTAGGGGGTCACAGAGGCATGTGGGGTGCCGGGTTCTTAGAGGGTCCAGGGTTGAGTCTTACAGCCAGATGCCGGCAAAGAGCCATGAACATCAGCGTGCTCTTCTCGGCAACGACCTTCAACTCTTCCTCGGCATCCGAGGCTGGCTCAGGCGGTTTAGGAATCGACCCCTACTCCCTCGTGATCTTGTTGCTGTCTTTTCTGAAGGATTACAGTTCCTTCCACCACCTTCAGAGGCGGCCACAGCACGGCTACCCTAAACTCCGTAGACACAAGAGCTCTTCAAAACCCTTGAAAGACCAAACAAACAGCTACGAGCAGAACTAACGAATTCTGGCGATGCTGCTCTGGTAAACCCTAACTCCCAGCCCTTAATTTGTATGACCCGAAGCTCGACATTCGACACAACTTGTTTGGCAGGTACACAAGGCCCCACACCTAGCTCCTACTACCAAACTACACAGTCCCGAAATACAGATCCTCCAAACTAATCTTCCGCTTTTCAGCTCAACCACTTTGCGGTTGCAACTGTCTGGAACCTGAAAGTGAAACACTTCAAGCACTTGTCCTCACGCCCGCTTACCTGAAGAGTGAAGCAACATACAACCAAGCAGCCGGGCACTCCAAACTGCTCTGAAGCAGTCTTCGTGCAGCCCATATGGGGATTTACGATATTAGGGGGCACCTGATTGGGGTCTATGTTAGGGCCCCCCCCCCCCCCATATTCGCAAGTTTTTTGGGGGCCTGGACTCGGCTCCGAGCCCTTGAAGGCCTTCCTCTTAGGGGCAAGGCACCATGTCTGTCAGCCCCCAGGCGACCTGAATCAGAACTTGCGCCGTGCCGCCGATGTCCGCGAAGTCCTCCGACATGGTCCCCGCTGGGTTGTAGCCCAAGGAAACCCTAAGCACAGCGGCACGCTGATGTTGGAAGAAAGAACAGCAACGCCAAGACGCTGAAATCAAAGGGACCTGCACCCTACTAGGCCGGAGCACCCACCCCCAGACACTGAAACACGCCTTGCAAGCCGAAATCCAGATGCGATGCCCCTCAATCATAGCCCCCCCCCCCCCCCACGCACCGCTTAACCCGGCCCCCTTGAACATTCCTCCCTGCTACCTTAAGATCTCAGAAACTTTATGCCCCTAAACCCTAAACCCTAAAACTGATCTCCAAGTTTGGCACCCCCCCTCCCAAACCTTTCCAGCAAACCTCCCACACCATTGAAAGAGACCGGCCTCCAAGCCGACATGCTCGACCTGAATTCAGTGGGCTTTAGGGTGTAGGGTTTAGGGTTTCGGGTGTAGGGTTTAGGATTTGCAGGGCTACGCGTAATCCCAAACCCTGTTCGAGGTTGAGGGGCTCTTCACTGAGAGTTGGGACAATCGGGCAAACCATCAAGCCTGCAGCCTTGAGCCCTCCAACCCTCAAGCCATTTCCCCATCCCTCGTTTAGGTCAATTTAGGTCTTCCCTGGACCCCAGACCTCACGCTCAATACCCCCCCCCTTAGCGTTCACACCATTTCTCAACCCGCCTACTGAAGTAACCCAGTAACCCTTTCAAACCCGCAACACACAAGGCACGCCCAAAAACTAACTCAATAATCCAGGTGAGCAGTTTTTTTTTTCATTGTGTGGGGTGTTGTAATGGCATGGGTATCCTACGCGGGCCTACGCGTCAGCTCATGTTTAGTAGGCGCGCGACCTACGCGCGGAGTATGTTGTTGACGTCTGCCTACGCGGACCTACGCGGCAAGCACAGACAACCTACGCGGACCTACGCGCCCATACTGCATAGACTTGCCTACGCGGACCCTACGCAAACCTACGCCCTGCAGGCAAAATGCTACGCGGCCGACTTTCAATGATCGCGTCTCTACGTAGCCTTGCTCCTAGAAAAAAACGCTGCTCAGGTTGCTAAATTGACACAGTAACCCTTCATCAACGGGTCTAAATACGTCAAACTGTGTGAGCTGTGGGATGTGATCTACACACCCGACAGCATGTGCAGAATGCTTTGGTAATGTCTGTTTCCTTTGTGATTTTTGATTGGCGCATCTTTCACAAACCTACCCACTGACAAATATTGTGAGACAATGCTGTGTTTAACATATTTCTTGAACTACTTGTACTCAAGCCAGAAAGCATTTGGTATTCTCCCCGCTTGATAGCCAATATGCGGTTTGCATCCTGCCTCGTTTCAGTTGGTGGAAGACCTTGACCAAATCATTATCCGAATGTATCAGGGCATTTTCCTCTTTATCGGTCATTTCAGCAGTTCATCCACATTATCAACTTTTGATATTCAACGGGTTCGGTCTCAGCGGTTGTGTAAAGCTTGCTTGTTGTAAAGGTATTGTATTTGTCTGTCGGTTGAGCTTGTCTTAATGTGGCTTAATGGATTTATATGATTGTTTTTCATCGGTCCTCTGAATATTATACTCGCCCCTTCTTATAATTGCTCGGGTTGTATTCCTAGATCATAGCACCAGGAAATTGTATAATCAAACTGGTATATTGAAGGATTCAAAGACCTTGTCCATTTGGTTTATCGTCCCCCCCTTGCTGATAAGTTATTCTTCTGTCATTTCCAGGAGTACAAAGACTTTATTGCGACTTAATGTTGTTTACATTCTCTTTTGTTGACGCTTTGGTCTTGTCAGCTCTGTTCCTTCTAAGTTCTCTAATGAAGCACTGATCCAGCATTCGTTGTCTCTGTCATATTGCTTGTGTAATGCTTCTTTTGTAGTCTCTGCTTCGGCATTAACTTCGGGTCTGAATGTATCTGAAATATGTGCTCATTCTGTTTCCTTGTTGTAATGGCTCTTCTGTCTCGTCGTAGTTGCCTGTGACCGTTTCAGCGATCTGAACGCTTTCAACGCTAATGGCATCCGCGGATTCTAACATGTGCCATATCTCCTTGAACTCGCTACTTCAAGCCATAGCAATCATCAGTTTTCCACATAAGAACTTCTCTGTTTCGTGGTATTTTCTTATCTACCGATGAGTTAATTCATTTGCTTTCACATTCGCACTCCCTACTAAACTATCCTTTCCACGGGTATAAAGCATCAAAGGATAATATGCTGCACCATCCAGAATAGATGATGCCTGTTTAGCGTCTGAACGATTTTGAGCAGAAAACAGCATAAACTTAACAGTTAACATCGGAAGTCTTCCTGCCTTTGAAAATGTCTTTTGCCTTTGTTGAGAATCCGCTAATGGCCTTTATTTCGAACACAGGTTGCTTATCGGTTTTCCTTACCACTGCTGTGGTTAATCCTTCTGTTTTTGGTGATTTGTCCTCGTACTGCGCCATTGCCTTTTCATGTTGCTTTATCCCTTTTTCTCTTGCTCTGGCATTGCCTGTGGACATCCCATTGATTAAACTAACTGCTGTGATGAACCGTGATAAAATCCGCCATGCAATAGAAATTGCTGAAATGGTAGGAAAACGCAACGAAAATCACTTTTTCTTTGGGTCTCTGTTTGGTGGTGTTTCACTGCGACTTCTGCTTGTTCCTCTTCTTAGCAGTCTAATAGCATCATTGCTTCTGCTTGGTTGTTCACGCCAGCTACGCGACGCGGAGGCTTCGGGTTCTTCATCTTCATCTCTGCTTGTATTTCGTTCTCTTGCGTTTTCGGGTCTACTGCTTCTGCTACGACTTGCCCCTCTTCTCATTCCTTGTGGTTTCTGCTTCTTCTTCTTCTTCACTTGTTTCTCGTCCTTCCTTTAAAGCATCAATTGAGTTCATTCCTGAGGCGAGTTGTCCACCATAATATGATGTATGTATTCCTAAACCTATTCCCATTCCTAATGCTGCTTTCGCTACTCTTGATGCTGTTAATCCTTCTTCTTCATCTCGTCTTCTCTATTGCTGGTGGTTTCTCATCTGAGATGCATGTAAAGGTTTGCATCGATTTTTCAGCCCTTCCTTTTCTTAGTGTGAAACGCATTGAGTTTTGGTTCTTGGTTTTCGGTCTTCGGGGATGGCTGCGCTTTGGATTGTGCTATGGATCTTTGTGATTGTTGGGGGTGCTTTGTGTATTGTGGGTTTGGAGGGTTGATGAATTCGGGGGGTTGAGAATTGGTGTGACAGCTAGGGGGTGGGGTCAGCCTGGGCTTGCTCATACACCCCGGCCTCTTGGACCATCGCCGCGATGGAGAAGCTGAAGACCACAATGCAAGCGGCCACGGCACCCAGGCACAGGAAAACCTCTGGATCCGGCGCCCGTGCTTTCGGGTCTGGAGGCTCTTTTGGAAGCAGGAAGCGGCTGGACAACCTCAACACCAAAACCCAAAGCCCCCATAACCCCCCCCGGCCGGTGCCATGCTGGGCTTAGAGGGTCTAGGGTGAGGTTTGGAGGGCTAAAGAGAAGCTTGGGTCGAGAGATCGTACGTTTTCTGGATCTGAGGCTTCAGGGCCTACGGCTATAGGCTCTACAGGGTTTGGGTTGCCTTTACCCGAAACAGTTCCACACATCGCCAAAACCCTAAATCCACGCCCCTCGCGTGCCAGGTACTCAAACCCGCACACTGTCATAAGGCCTTTCACGAAGAGCTTCCAGGTTTGGCAGGGTTCATGGCTGATGGGTTCAGGGTCGAGGGATTCGGGCGAAATGGGCTCAGGGCCTTCATGTTTTGTTGGCCTGAGGCAAGATCCTGAGTCTGCATCAGCGAAATATGAAGAATAAAGCACCCCGTGAGCTGTTGAGTGGAGGACGACAGCCCTGAGCTCTAAAAAGCATGCAACAGCCAGACCCCCGCCTGTCCAAGCGCGCGTGAGCACAGCACCTTGTACTCCGACATCTTAATGGAGACGGTTGCCAGATCCAAGACAAGCAAAGAGAACCTGGGTCTTTGATGGTCCTTGGGGCTGTCTTGACCTTCCCCGGAAAGTCTAAGCAAAGGGTATCCACAAGGTAACCATAACTTGCCACAGACAGTCAATGACTCTAAACCCCCTCTTGTACCCAAACTCAAGCTGAGGCACAAGAAGACCCCGCAGACGGAGAGGATCTCGTAGACTATCCTGAGCGGAGAAGGGGCTTGTGCTAACAGTGCGGGTGCAGGCCTCAGGACTGTCATAGGACTCTTGTCATGAGCCCCATGAGAGCAAAGTCCCAGCGATTAGTGGATTGGGGATATGGCTGGCGAGGGTAAAACAAGTACGGCCTGCTCCCAGTCAGGTCACTCCATCTCGGGCGTGTAGGCTTCGCATTTCAGCGCGATCATGTCCTGTCAGTGAAAGCAGCCGAAGCACTCCCCCGCCCAGGTGCTTTTAGGGATGAACCCACATCAGACCCAGAGCGCAAACCGTATCCTCAAGCTCCAAACCGAAACCCCGGCGGCTTCTGGTCTGCTGGGAACAGTAGATCCCCTTGAGGGTTCCTCAAAATATAGGGTAAGATTTGGGGGCTCTACTTTCTTGGATCCTCCCAAGGGTCTAAGTTTGTGTCTTCGGGCTCAAGGATGCTAAGTTTGGGCACCCAAAACGCAGTGGGCCTCTGACGACCCTCCGAAGCAGTGGCAAACCGGCTCCACCTTTGTTGCCAGGGAGGGAAGACGGCAGCAAGACACTGAAGCTTGGAGCAGTTCCCCTGAACCCCCCCCCCCCAAGACCCCCTTCTCAGTGGCTCCAGACATTGTTGCCCTTGATTTGACGTGCAGTGCAGGGAAACTGGGCATCAGCTTTCCAGCTCCCGTAGGAGGAGCTGCATGCAAAAGGAATCAGGGCTTGGGGCACCGATGCGCTCATGAGGGCCTCATGCATTAGGGGTTGCTGGGTGGACGAAGCCAGGCAAGGCACGAGCAGCATCCCGAAAAGGTTGACTGTGAGCGCCAGCGACACCTGCTGCTCCCACTGGGCAAGGTAACCTTAGGTCAAAATCTGAATGTGTAGCTTCGCGAATTCTTCGGAATCTAGAACGACTTGACCTGAACTACAACCGGGGATCTCAATGTTCCTCAGATGCGTTCTGACACGCGGCAAGGTGATTCTGGATGGCGGAAGGGCCTGTGCGAAAGTCTTGATGCTGAAGCGTGTGGCGCCTCCATGTGGGGACGGTCGTATTGGACCGTTCCAGCGACTGGGCTGGGAGGTGATTTGCAGTTTGCGGCAAGTGCATAAAACTTTCTGGACCTGACCTTTCAAGCCATTAGAACAGACAGCCAGAACGGCTGGAACTGCGAGTGGCAGCAACCTTCGTGCGTCCGGGTGGAAAGAACAGGAAGGAGCCTTGCCATGCATTGGCCATGCATCCACCCGAGACAGCACCTTCCTTTCTTGAAAAGGATTCATCAAAATGGGGGGGGTCCTCGCTGGCAGTAGGATGAACATTGGTCCTGATGTCTCAGGTCGGGCTTCGTCTACAAGAGATTCTGGACTGGGAGCCCTTGGTGGGCACGTCTAGGAAGCACTCTTACAATCCACGATCCAAGCATACAAAACCGCAGCAAGTTCATCAAAGTCTGGTGTGTCCGGAAACTCGTTCTGCAACGTTGAACTCCGGTGAGCATGTACAGAAATGGACCCTCGGAACTCTCGTCCCTAGATCCTCAAGCCGCGCAGCCGGGAATGTGAAGCTGCCATTTCCGCACGAACTCCTGCTTGGGGTCTGCTATGCCCTAAACCTCCCCTTCACATATACATTTAACCCCTCAACCCTATTCGCGGACATTGTGCAAAACCTTCGTGGGCATTGTGCAACACATTCGTGGGCACGGGTTTTTGGTCAAATTGTCGTGGGGTATTGTGCAAGATCTTGTGGCTCGTGGGAATCATTGCGCAAACAATTGTGTAAGACATTCGTGCCAAAATCTTCAGCTACTTTGCAAGATTGGTTGTGGGCATTGAGAAAAATTTGGGCGAAGTCTACGTAGCTCCTTAGGGTTCAGGGGTTTATTGGGCCTTGAGTTAATATCAGGGGGAGTCATGGGCCTGTGGGGTACTTCTCTGTCGCCTGACAACTGCTTGACGAGTGCTAAGCTAGAACACGAGATGCTGAACCCTAAACCCTAAACCCTATTCCATAAAACCTAAACCCTAACCCTGGACCCTAAACCCTAAACCCTGAATCCAGAATCTGGGGTCCAAGACATGCCACAGACACGGGCTTCAGGCCCACCTTGGAGGGGCCTTCCCGACCGACAATGCTGGAGGGCAGGGAGCTCTAAGCCCAATTGGGAAGCCCCCGACAGAATTGGGGGCTTTGCGGTTAGGACTTTGAACCCTAAACAGTGGACCGCAGAGTTTTTGGAGTTTTGGAGACAGCCTTGTTTGCGAAGGAGCGGAATATTTTCGTCCCGTGCCTCGGATTTGTGGCACTTTGTAAGGCTCACAGCTGCTTAGCGGTTTGAGGTTGGGATGTTCCCCCTTATACTAACAGTCCTGGATAGGGATACTGGTACCCCCCTATTCTAATCCCAACAATGGACTGTTAGTATAAGGGGCAACATCCCAATGTTTAGGGCTTTTGGAACTTTGGAAGCTTGCTCTCTCGCTTTGCAGGGTAGGGTTCTTGATCTCTGAATCTCCAGAGGCCCAAGTGAGCTAAGCAGCCAGAAGAGCAACTGGCCCAGGCCCACAAGGTAGACCATCATGCGGGCGATGCCCATATAGTTGTGCAACCTTTTTTGGTGGGGGGGGGGGGGGTTTCGGGTGTAGGGTTAAGGGCTTAGGGTTCAGGAGAGTTTGGGTGCCTCATTTGGGATGTAGGCTTTCGGGGTCGCCTCAGCCCTCCAGACCTCTCATCGCTCCAGTGACCTGAAACTTCTCTAAACCCTACCCCAAAGCCCTCATAAACCTAACGCCCACACCCCGCATCGGCTAAGGCTCGGAAACCTCTGGGCAGTGTTAAGTAGGGTTTCCGGCTGACTCCGACAAAAAAACCCAAGGAAAACCTTTAGGCAAACTGAGGGCTTCGCTGTTTGGGCGGAGAGCCCAGCTTAAACCACAAACCCCAGACTACAGATCTGCTCACGATCTCGGTCCCAGGCGTGTGGTCGTCAAGATAGACCTTCTGGTTCAGCACACCTCGGATGTTTTCCCCCCAGCAACACCTAACTACCAGCCCGACACATCCCCGAAACCCTGAAAAAAACCTGATCCACCCCGCTGGCCCGCTCGAAGGCGGCCTGTAGCCGTGGACTCCGTGGACGGCAGACCCCAAGAACACTCACAGCCCTGCACCCCGACATGTCTAAGGACTCAAAGGACTCAAAGGATCCCAGAATCAGACCCTGCTCCCAAGCAGCTTTGGGCGAGGATGTAAACGATGAAGGTTATCAGTGTCCACAGGCGATCCTGGAGGAAATGCCTCATCACCTTACGTCTGCAGCCTACTTCCCCGAAACACACTACCTTCCCACAAAAATCACATAAAGAAAGAGTTCGCCTCGGCTTCCTGCCGAGAAGCGTCTGGAACAAGCAGACCCGGATCGTTCCCCCTAACCCAACCCTTCCCCCGCCCCCCCCCCCCCGCTCTGTTTGTGCGACCCCTTACAAATCCCTTGGAGGAGTGCCCAATTAACCTCCCCCCCCCCCCCCCCCCCCTCGTACCCCCCCTCCCCCCCCTCATCCCCTCCCCCCCCCCCCCCCCCCCCCCCCCACCACCCGCTCTGCCCTTCTTCCCTTTTTTTGCGAAACCCTCTTTCCTCCTCCCTGTCCTGGGGCCGGCCCGGCTGCCGAGGCGGCGCGTGCAAGCGTTTACAATAAAAAAAAAACACATAAACAAACAAATAAACAAACAAATAGAATCCCCACGCGGCCGTGCCACGAGCTTCTCCCAGATAAGGTCCAGCGAGAAGACGAGGATGGGGTGAGTGATCGTCCTGGGGTCCTTGAAGCTGATGAAGGATTTCATTGAGCGCGACAGCATCCTCAGCTCCCAGAGGCGCTGCCGCGTCTGGAGGGTCACTTCTTGGAGCCTCTGGGTGCCAGTTCTTGAAGGGAGCGGTGTCACTCCAACATGTAGCAACCCGAGGGAGCCCAGAACCCCCGAGACCCCTGCACCAGACACCGAGAATCCCTGAGGCCCCTCAACCGAATCGCCCGGCCGGGGTTCTGAGACTCGTCCTGGTCCTGTAGCAGATGCTCGAGGTAATAGATCACAGGGCGAAGACCGTCCTCTGCTTCAGGGCGGACGAAAGCTGCAGGGGTGTGGGGGCCCTTTGGCTCGAGGATTTGGGCTTCAGATTTCGGGTGCTGGGTTTAGGAGTTCGGGGTCACGGCCCTCCCCTGCTGGAGTCATTAATCTGGCATCTTGAAACCCATCTCTTCCCTCCAAAAAGCCCCGATGCCCAAAGATCTTTGGGCCTGTGTAACAATGATCTCCAAGTCCCATACGCCCATCTGCCCACCCTCAAAGGATCAAAGGAGGACTGGTAGGGCTCAGGGTAGTTGATGTGGGAGATTCTAGGGCCTTAAGGCCCCTAGGCACGAACATGCGCTGCTTGGCCCCGCCTGCGTCTTATGGGACCGCCAGATGAGGCCGTCCAGAAAATCCTGGAGAAGCCCTAAATACCCCTAAACCGAGAGCGGCAGACCACAGGTTCGGCCATCTCATGTGAGAAATTCAGGCTGTTCAGGAGGTTAGGCGTAATTGTTGAGGAGGCTTAGGAGGCTTATGGGGTTTGGGAGGCTTTGGGTTTATCGGGCTTCGGTGGTGAAAGGAAGCGGGGAGGGATGAGGAGGATTAGGTTGGATCTAGCGGTCGTCAAATTGTGCTCCCACCCAAGCGTGCTTGACTACGGGATTCGGGGTGGACTGCTTTCATCGTAAAACCCTTGTCGTCCCAACTCAAGCCAGAGCCTAGCTCCCACCCTCATCCTTCGCGAGGGACGGCGCTTCGCGCAAGAGGTTCTCTACGACGTCAGGCTGCAACCTGGCTTTGGAGGTTTCAGGGCTGTGCGGCTCAAAGGTTTATAGGGCTTCAAGGGATTGAAGGCTTCGTGGGTCGGGGGGCGGGGTCGGTTTTGAGGGCACCAGGAAAGGAGCACACTAGAAGATTCGCCGAGTCAACTGGGAGAAAAAAAAAAAAAAAAAACCAGCCTGGGCCGCCGAAATGCCCATGAAGCCCAACCCGACCCTCAGAAACACTCCCCGGCCCTTCTGGCCTGAAGAGTTCGTCAGCTCCGTAGTAGTACCGGTCCCGATCCTTGGTTTATGGTACAGCTTGAGGAAGAACAAAATTTGGTGCTCTACGGTTCGGTTTGGTTCTCAGGGTTAGGATGATTGCACAAGACTCGACGGGACAACAGATGGCCTGAAAGAGTTTGTAAATCGCAGCGCATCATCACATCGGAACCGCCTAAAGGGGTAGAGGGCGGAGGGGTGTGAGGGTAGGGGGAGGGTACATGGCTCCAATGATTGCAGACATTAAAGGCTATGTACTCTGCGGCAGCACAGCTTTGAGACTGGGACCGCTGCCTCCATATACCACCCCCCTCCCCTTAGATCCCCCCACCCCCTGCTGCCGTACCGCCCAAAGAACACCCAACGAATTTCACACTCTGCGGCTCAATGCTATGCCATGCCAAGAGCCTGAAAAGCAATCCCGGACCAATTTCTGCGCGCGCACACACACACACACACACACCAGACAATATTCGTCCTGCCCCCCCCCCCCCCCCCCCCCCCCGAAGACCTCATCATGTACAAGTTTGAGTTTATCGTTGTACCCTGTAACCAAGGCTTAGGCGAACCATTACACCCGAAACCCGAACAGAAAACAAAAACGAGATCACCCTGCATCTGAAACCCCAACTTCTGATGATCGACAAGCGTCTGCTCGGATGGTTAGAATGTCCTGCACGATCGTCCTCGCTGCCCCGTGGCAACCGCTCCTGCAGAGCCACAGAACTGGAGGAGGTGACCGGCTTTTCGGCCTTGGGGTAGGGGTCCCTGAACCCACAGGCACACGCCTACAGCTGGCATGGATATCAACAAAACACGGCGGGGCCCTTCCATGCGCCTCAGCGCCCAGTAAAGAGGGCTGATGGACTGGCTGCCTACGCGGACCCGCAGCTGCCAGTTCACGCGCTGAGCCTGGGTGAACGTGCTGGATGTAGGTTTGGGTGTCAGGGTGTAGGGCAGACCCTGGTTCCGGAGCTCACTGGCGAAGGCATGGTATCATGAATCATGGGGCCGATCGGTACCCTAACAAGGAATACAGACCGCAAGAGCCAAGAACCCATTCCCTGAGCCTCCAAATCGAAAGGCGAAAAAACATGCATCCTCGGAGCACGGGGCGCATCACGGAGAGCCTTCTTGAGGCGTTTGGAGTCGTTGGCATGAATGGCCTGCCTCGGTTCATCACAGATCACGGCTTCGGATGTGGCTTAGGAGACTTACAAGCCTCGATCTGCCGAGATTCTATGTCCTGAGCCCCCCCCCCCGCCCGACTCCTTGCACATGGGGTTCAGAAGGTTTCGAGCATGGCCCCTTGTGCCAGTGGCACCACTCGACCGCAGTCTTCCACTGTACGACGGTATGACGCAACATATCATGACAACGCGAACCGACGTCATGATTGAAAGAACATAGCCACACCGCCAAGGCGCATAGCGCAGGTCACTCGCATTATTCATTGCCTAAAGCCTGATTTCTAGAAGAGGAAAAGAAGCCCGACTTGCTGGATGTAGGTCCCATGTTTAACATCCTAGCAGGCAAGGCAGTACCAACACCCTTCGTACGGGCCGCAAGTCGTACGTACACACCAGCCACACACACACACACACACACACACACACACTCACGGCATGTGGGATACATCTTACATTCTGGACCTGACTTGGCCCAGTTCTACAACTGGCCGGGGCAACCAAGAAAAGTTTGCCGGACGAATTGCGCAAGCATTCCAGAATCACCCGAACAGCTTTTCTGGGAGCCTTGGTTCTTGGATTCTGGCCCCGGCCAGCTTTGCTTAAAACTGCCTGTTTTTGCTAAACTGGGCCCCGGTCACGGCCAGTTTGCATGAAGACTGCCCGTTTCTGTTCGAAGTGGGCCAAGTTCAGGCGGATGTGGCTGCTGCTTCAGTGGCACTCAACAGATATGCAGGGGCACACTCGAAGCTGAACCTAAGGCTCGCAGATCTTCCGAGACTTGAAGGGCCGGGCGTGGGCCATAGGAGTTAAGGTCTTCACCAAACCATGTACAAAATGAAAATCACAAGATTCGCTTCAATAGGAACAACGCTCTAGCTTCGATTGAAAAAAAGGCATTGTTGTGAATGTAAGTTGACCATATCCACATATCCAAATTTTCTGCAGCTTCAATACCCCGGCCGAAGCCCGAATTCCTTTCAACGGACAAAGAGGCGCAATCTGCAGAGTTGAAAGAGTCTATCTGCCAAAGAACATAAACAGATTTTGAGATTCTCTGCGTATTTCTGAGGCCGATTGACAAAATCACCTAACTTCACTTCATCTGAAACAAAGGCTGTATTGCGAAGATAAGGAGTTCGATGTGTGTGCATATTTGCGGACTTCAGCTAAACTCTGGAAGCTAGACGCTTGCAGAGAAACGTTGATGTGTGACAATGCTTGTAGTCGCTTCCACGTCAGTTATCCGAACTCGTGTGGGGGGCCTTCGATCCGTTTGTACCGATTTCCACTCCCCCCCCCCCTCCCCCCCACCCGCCCCCCACCCGCAAGGCAGGCATTCACCAACACTTCTTCACATGACTGCCACAGTGTTTTTTTTGTTTGTGCGTGTGTGTGCATATATATATATATATATATATATATATATGTATGTATGTATGTATATATATATATGTAAATGTATTCTATCTGTGTGTGTGCACGTCTCTGACTGATGTGTGCTTCATATGTTCCTATACTATGTATACAGTATACGTGTTTGTGTATCTTTTTCCTACTTGCAGACTAGCTGTCTGAGCTCAGAAACCTAGTCACGGGAATGAAACAGAATGAAGAGAGTCGGGGATCTAAGGCGGCGGAGGGGTGAGACAGAACGTGATCTGGTCTACATGTAAACAATTTGCTGCCTGTGAAGTGAGGTATAATGAATGGGGGAGGGGAAAACCAGAAAGAATGTATCTATGAACCTCGTGTATCTATTTCAGTCATGCCGATTTCGTTTCTTCGTTAAGTCCTACCCCGAGTGCGAACAGGATGCATGACGGCCGTGGAGCCCTCAGTGATGGTGCGCATCAGAATCCGTGCGACCAGTCCTGCGGATCCCAAGGCTTCGGGTTCGGGCTGGGGGCTCAAAGTTTTGGGTTAGGGCCAAGGGTTCAGTTTAGTCTCTCGAAGGGGCATGAAGGGCAATGGAGTTTTGTCGATGTCCCATCGTGCAGGCTTTTGCTGGCTACTGTCCCGAGGCATGAGGTTCTTGCCATTCATGCTTGCCTGGAGCACAAGAAGCTAAACCTGCCACCGCAATTGCGCTGAACGTTCTACCACTTGGTTGCTCGGATCTAGAGGGCAAGATGAGGAAGCTGAATAAGATTCCGTTTGCCCGACGCAAACGGAGATGATGCCTCCCACGATGCCAACCTGGAAGGGGGATCAAGGGCTGGGGGCTTAGTCTCATCCGAGGATCCGATGGACCATCGAAAGCCCTCGATCATCATGTGCGACTGAAGCTCATTCTCCTGCGACCAACATGAAAAGGTGCTCTCTGTGAACTTAAGCACCCTGTCCCTAAACTGCAGATTGCTTGCACCCTTGGAATACAGAGGGACCACGCCCTTAGACAATTTCGAAGGTTGCCTACTCGACCTCTGCGAGTAGTAGTGCCTTGGAGTTTGGGGTGGAGAAGACCTTGAGCTTACAGGGTGGAACCCGAAAACTGGGGTCGTTCAAGGTTTGGCTCAGGTCCTGCTTTCAAGTTGTGGGTTCTCGGCAGTCAGAATGACACAGGCGCGTACAACTGTTTGGGGGAGGGGCATACACCCCTTCACAAACGAAATGATTCGCGGATGAAGGGGTATAAATATGACGCGGGCATGTACAGCAAAAGAAGGCGCTGAGAGGGCCGCCCCTCACGTTTGGCTTTTGAACCCTACATAGCCACTAAACCCCCAGCACTCACGGCAAGAACACCTGCAGATAGTGGGCACGGTCGGCAGGGCAGAGCATCTCCTTCGTCGACGTAACCTGGGGAGAGCGGTTGGACGTGGTTTGGCGGCCCCAAGCGGAGAACGCGCAACGAAAGAACTCGAAATCCCACGAGAAAGTCATAAAGTCGAGAAGCTTCGAAACATCAAATCCCGAAGACATCGAAAACGACTAACGGCATCCTGTTGATGGCAACCTGTACCATCTCAAGCACAGCCTCGCATTTTGGACGAATCGGTGCATCAAGAGCCGCAGTGCAAGCACCGCCCTCATGCGTCCAAGCTGGCGCGCGCGCGCGCGTTCAATCATTTCGCAGGCTAGCTTCTCCCCCAAGGTAGCGGGGGCCAAGGCTTGCAGTTGCTGTAGCTTTGTAGACCCCTCGGCCCTAACCATCTGAGGGACCCCTGGGCTTTCGGCTTGCCCTCCTTGGAGCCTTAACGTCGTTGTGGGGTTATAAAATTCTCTTGGCGGATCAAAGATGGGCTCTTCTCCCCCTCGTAAACTCCCAAAGTCGACAAGCCCGTCGAGTCGAAACCCCCCAGAGAAGCCTCGAAAAGTTCAAAAAAGGTCGAGAAGGACCGAGCAGTTCAACATTTTTGACTTTGCGAATCAAGGGGTCAGTGCCTGGGTTTCGAGTGCTAAGTGCTATGCGATGCATCTCGAAGCAAAGATCTATCGATACATCTCTAACCGAAACTCCTACTGGTGGTAGGGTTTGGGCTTGTTCTCGATATCTTCAGCATTGGAAACGGTGGCTTGGTTTTGGGAAGGTGGCTTTCCAGCCCCTCTTTTCCAACCCAGAACATCTCAATCCCTGATTCCCAAACCCCCCCCTTCTCGGCTGCAGATGGTGAAGAGGACCATTTGGAATGGATGCATCTCAAAGCACAGGTCAATGCAATTTGATGCAGCGCCAAGCAAAGATCTAGAACAATCGATGCTCGAGCAAAGGTTTCAAACCAAAGGCTTCTCTAAAAAAAAGCACTGGCCCGCACAGCGGAGGGAAATCACGACCAGCATTCTACGCGATCACTCCATTAGCAAGTGTAAGTTTCTTTTGTTTTTGCCAGCCCACAAAACTGGCACAGCTGTGTTTGTCCCGTGTGGTTGTAATTTGCCTCTGGATGTAGTTTCGCCTGGCCGCAAGGTTGCCAGGACCCGGAGTGAAGAAAACACGGAGATCACAGCAAAAAATGGTGTGTCCCAGCGAGCAAATTGCGCAAGGAATCCTGACATGCCCCAAGAACTTCGACCCACAAAATTGGAGCGACGTGCGCCGGGTGTTGTTCAAAGCTACCCGTGGGAAGTTGTGAGGGATGTCCGATGTCCTGTCTCTAAGCTTCAAGCGTTGTAGGGAAGCTCCGCCACAATCGGCTTCACCACCTCCACGCAAGTGTCTGTAAACGGCCCGAAAAGGTCGATCGGCACGCCATATCCTGCACCGGCCGCAAATTCCGGTGGTAAGCAGATCCTCTTCCCTGATTCTGACAGGGCCTTCCCCCCTAGTTCCAGTATTCTGCTCCCTAGGACTCTGGGGGCAGGGACCCGGAAACTTGCCTGGAATCAACCAGAGCACTTTGACCACACCCTGAAACCAAACCTGACCCCAACCCAAAAAGACCTCAAACCCTACACCGACTCAACACAAAAAACGAACATGGGCCGGCGGAAGTTCCTACATGCCGCAGCCCCAGGGCGGACAGCTCGTCGACCATCTCGCTTGTGTCTCCTGGTTTCAAGGTTTTGCTTTTGGGGTTCTGGGGCGTCGGCATGATCCTTTGTGGGGCAGGTGGGAGGAGGGAGGGGACCCTGAAACCTGAAGATCCCAAACCCAAATTCAAAACATCAGAAACAAAAAGCAAGCCTTGGGACGTTTCCCCCTCATACTAACAGTCCTTCATCGGGATTCTAGTACCCCCGTTTTTCGTCCCCATTAAGGACTGTCAGTATAAGGGGCAACATCCCAAAGCAGACCCTTTAAAGCACTGAGCTTTCAGGCCAGGCTCGCTGCATCATGTCATGGGCGCAAGACAACACCCGGTCGGCGATGTAGCGGAGCCTTGTTTGCGACCTGGCGTGGGTGCACTCCATCCTAAAATCTTTAAACTCACCTCCCGAAACCCCGTAAACCCCTACTGGAAACCCTGAACCCCACCCCCAGACTCCAGAAACAAAAGCGCCCCTCTGCCTCCTCAACCCTAGGAAGCTAAGCCACGGCCTGGAGGAGAATTGATAAAACTAAGCTCCGAACTCTAAACCCTTCAGGGCGCGGAACACACATTCAGGAAACAAAGTCGAAAGCAGCCAGGTGAGTTCAGGAAGGGATTCGCAAAGTCAGAAACACCACGAAAAGAGTCAGGGGGCAGAGACGCCTACATTGACCAAACAAAAGGGGGGACGCCGGCTTAGGGCTTGGATGGACCGCAAATAAGGCACCCCCGAAATTCGGAAACCAATTGAGAAAATCTGCTTCTCTGCTTCCCAACTCCCGACAAGGGGCTGCTTGAAGAGGTCCTGACTGGCGGCGCACTTCGCAAAGAACTTGGTGTAGATGGTGGTGCGGAAGGTCTCGTGGTGCCTTGGGAGCCATAAGACTCCAAGACAGGCTTCGAGCTTGGGATGTACGGCAGCAAGAGGGCTTTCGAGCTGGGGCAACCTCTTGGGGGCTTCCTCAATAAGCCTGAGCCCTTAAAGCACCAAGTCACTCCTCACTCAGGATGGAGAAGAGCTTCTTATTGAAGGGCTTGAAGGCCTTCACCTCAGAGCGGATCGAGGGGTGACTGTTGTTGCGGTCGAGGGCTTTTCCGAATAAGATGCCCACAAGAACCTGGAAACCCCCCCTTCCTGGACCCTAAAGACCCTAAAGACCCTAAAGACCCTAAAGACCCTAAAGACCCTAAAGACCCTAAAGACCCTAAAGACCCTAAACCCTAAACCCTAAACCCTCAACCCTCAACCCTCAACCCTAAACCCTAAAACCTAAACCCTAAACCCCAAACCCTAAACCCTAAACAGCTGCCGCCTTCATCGTGGACTCTGTGAGGTTCCGCGAGATGGTCGCCCAAAGCCACTCCCAGGCCTCTTCGTGCGCCGTGCTCCACGTTTGCCTAAGGTGGCAGGGAGATGGGCCGATTAGGATGTAGGATTCAGGATTCAGGATTCAGGATTCAGGATTCAGGATTCAGGATTCAGGATTCAGGTTTAAGGTTTAGGGTTCAGGGTTTAGGGTTTAGTTCCTAAGCCATCAACCCTATAAACCACAATAAGCCCCAACAAGCCCCAAAAGCCCCCTTAAGCCACCAACAAGCCCTCCAGGAACCCCAAGAAGCCCCCAACAAGCCCCCAACAAGTCCCCAACAAGCCCCCAACAAGCCCCCAACAAGCCCCCAACAAGCCCCAACAAGCCCGCAATAAGCCCCAACAACCCGAACAGGGTTTTGGGTTTGGGGTTTAGGGACGGGAGGGTGCCAACAGGAACTCCCGTGAAGGCCGGCTGCGGAAGCAGGGATCGTAGTGCCGCCAGCATGACGGGCTTGAACCGCTCGAACTTAATGTCCTGAGCTGCAGGCACCCCGCCCCCCCTCCCCCAAAAAACGAATAACCAAAAATCCCGTAGCACTGAAGCCATGAGCGCACTCAGGGGTTTCGGGGGGTCCACAAGAACCCGTGCAAGAACCCCTTTCCTGATCAAAGGGACGGGTTCAGCTGGAGTCACAACATCCTTACGCGGTCCCTGGGACTGCTTGTCCTGATCTCGCTGGGCGGGAGCAGACATGATACAATGATACACCGACGGACATGTAACAAGGGTTTCACGTTCAGGGTTTCGGACTTTAAGGCGTTTGCTGGCATTCATGGGCTTGGGGGCGTTGGATTTAGGGTCGCGAAAACCCGAAGCCAAGCGGCGTCCGACCGCGCCACCATCGCCAGCGAGAGCAGGTCACACTCCTCCACTAGGTGAGCCGGGTTGCCAACGCGCTCCACCAGTACCTCGGAACTTATCTTGCTCACTCGAACAGGAGCCCAACACCTCTATACCTCCCAAATAGGACCGGCCAGTTGGATCAAGCCCCCGCAATTTTGGGGGGGGATCAGAGTTTCGGGTGGCTTTAGCAAGGCTCGTGGCCTTTGCTCGGTATCACACCTCCCTATGGCACATTCTGTTCTAAGAACAGCCACCTTCGCCTTCCTGCCCCGCACGAACACGCAAAAGGCACCCCTCGCATCTCATACCACTCTTCAACACCCACCTTTGCAAGTCAAAGGCCTGCAACGCTATTCTGCGCCCCTCCGCACCCCGCCCTCCGAAGATCAATAAGCCCAAAAGAGGTCCCCGTCGAGGCCATCAAGGTGCTGAGAAAACGGCCAGGAGCTCCTCCATCCAACCTCCCGGACTCCCAGCGAGACGAAGGCTTCGGAGGGGTGGAACCCCTAAACACCACACCCCCAAGCCCCAGAATGCGGCTTAGGGATGTTTTAAGCCCTCCGAGGGTTCAGTTTCGAAGGCTCGCCGAATTCCCTAAACCCGAAATGCCGAAGGATGTTTTGGGCATGGAGGCTGCTGGGTGCCCTGTTTTGGGGCTTTGGGCCTGAAGCCCCAGATCCCCGAACTCTTAGGTCTTAGGGCTGAGAGCCCGAAACCCTCAACCCTAAGGATCGAAAGCCATCGGCCTTCGGTTGGCTGCCCCATGACCTGGTTGGAGAAGGCGCACATCTTGGGAAAGCTGCGCACCACCTGGCGGTACAGAAAGAACTTGAAGAATCCCGAAGATGAAAACAAGAGGCTACTCAAAAAGTACCCATTCTGATTGAATGGGTGACTAATGTACGGCCTTCTCGAATTAGAGTGGTGATCATATTGGCAAGTGCTTAGGTTTCTGAATTCGATGGCTGCTTTGAGGAATTAAGAAAAGGTGCTTACGGCCAGAACTTGGGATGTTCCGCCTTTTTCTAAAAGGTCCTTCATGGGGATTATAGTAGGGTACTAGAATCCCTATTCAGGGGGATTCAAGAAGAGCGTACTGGAATCCCCATTAAGGGATTCTAGTGGGGGGTACTATCATCCCCATTAAGGACTACTAGTGTAAGGGGGAACATCCCAAACCAGAACCCTGAGCAACCGAAACCCAAGCGAAGCACAAGCTAAGTGCCCCTCCTCAGCCTTCATCGTGGGCAGTTGCTTGATAGGGTTTTTAGGGTTAAGGGTTAAGGGTTTAGGGCTTAGGGTTTAGGGCTTAGGGTTTAGGGTTTAGGGTGATTTCCTGGTGTTGAGTCCTGAGTCAGGGGGCCCTTCGGGTGCCTATAATAAGGAACATTCAGTTCTGGGCTGTTGGGGTATAGCGGGTCCCCTATTTGGGGAACTACCATGTGGAAATCTGAGAGCCATGAGTGACCCCCTCCCTTGTTTAACTCAAATGCAAGTACGAATGCCCCGACTTGCCCGGAAACGACAATGACAACATGAAGCAGCACGTGCTATCGGAGATGGTGGGAAGCCTATTCAGGCCCCTTTTTAGTCCTCTGAGCGCTGCACCTCATCACCGTCAATTTCTTCATTCGCAGCGTTCTGGATGTCGTCCCAGTCACCCTGGAAATCTGCATTCCCAGCTTAGCACCGTTCGCCCACAGTCCCAAGCAGATACGGCCCTGCAACAAATACACTCCTTCTTGCCCACTGGCCCCCTGAACTGTGCATAGAATCGCTACGTCTCATTGTTGGCTCGGACATCGAACTTCGGACGGTGGGTGGGATAGCTAGTTTTGACTGGGGATTCAAGGTTCAGGGTTTAGGGTTTGGGGTTCAGGCTAAGCCCTGGGCCCAGCCTCAATAAGCTTCAAGCGCTTGCCGTACGTCTGCTTGACATACCGGAATGCACCGCCCACATACCTCATCCCGGGGCTTCGTGTCTTAGGGGCATCTTCCCAAAGAGGTCGGTTGCAATCTTGGGCGGAAGGCAGCTCTAGCGTGGGAGACCTGCATGACAGGGCTCCGCCCAGAATCCCCCCACTTGTTGCTTTCAGCTTCTTCGACAGCAGCACTCGCCGAGGCAGCCATGACTACACCACCATACATTGCGACCCAAAGCATGACTTCCAATAAAGGAAACAAAAAAGACATGGCAATGGCCTGGGACGACGATATCAGAAACCAACCAAACAGCAAAGAAAGATTCTGCAAAGAGGCTGGCTGCAGTAAACAAAGCAGAGGCAGCAAACCAGCGTCAAAACCAACACGTGTCCACATCACAGCCGACAGCCGAACGCCGTAACTTTACACCAATAGCGCCTATAAAGGCAGATCATGCTTGCGCCTTGATCTACACTGCCCTAACCTTCTTCCAGCTTGGCGGCAGCAGGATTTGCCGCCATACAGCGCCGGCGCCGGGCGGCAACTCCTGTAAGGCGGGCATGGGGTTTGTGTTTTTGGGTTTGAAAACGTTTTGGTGGTGGTCGGCATATTTTCTTTGTCGGGAGGGGTGAGGTGAGCCCGTGCGCACTCCACGCAAACATATGACCACGTACATAAATGGATCTTTCTCTACATATGCCTCTATGTATATCCGTATGAACCATGTGTCATGCGACTGTGTCTTGAGAGAGAAGAGGAAAGGGATAGAGAGGGAGAGAGATTGATACGTGACTACAGAGGATACGCTGAGAAACTGTCGTGTAATCCACAGTTTCTCGACTGGGACCGAAACCCTGAACCAGATCTGTCCTGAGATACATTCTGCATCAGCACCTCGAGAAAGGTGTCCTGAGTCCAGGAGAGTGGGGAAAATCTCCGAAATTCAAGGTTCTGCTTGTGTTTGGGGCTTCGGGGTTTGGTGTTTCAGGGCTTCTTCGTCAGGGCGACGTCCGCAACGCGAAGATAGCGAGCCCTGGAAGAGTGGCTTGGGCAAGGGGTCGTGCCTGCAGACTGCTTTCTTGCCTGGGCCTAAGCTGGAGAATTGCTCCAGGTAGTCAATTCAGCCCGACCCAAGCTCCATGCAACCCCGACACCAGGTGACCTTGGGTTCATGGCTTAGGGAAGTTGATGGTTTTGGGCGGTTTTAGGCTTTGATGGCCCGAAGGCCCGAAGTCCATGGGGCCCAGCGGCAGCAACTAAACCTGCGCGCACCTGGGTCACTTCGTACTGAAGGTGCCTTTGCTGCTGCTCTCTTGGGTCCCTACTAGCTGGTTCTTAGTAGGGAATGGGGGGATAACGGCCCCAAAAATACCCTTTAAGGGATGACATAGGGCCCTCATTCCCTCATTCCCTACTAAGAACCTGGGGGCCTAAGCTTTGAACGACTTTGGGATGAGGCTGTTGCAGAGAGTTCCAAGCAGCGTTCATGTTGACTTGCACAGCTCAGTTACCTATTGGGCGTTTCCCAAAATATTTTTTGTGGTCCTTATTGTAAAGGGATCCTACTATGTGGGGATCTATATTGGGGGGTCCCTTAATATCGTAAACCCGCATAGGTACCATAAACAGAAGGCCAGCTCTAACTCATGTCGCCCACACCCGCGCCAACAACATCCAACAACAGAGGCTCGCCAGCAAGGAGGTGTTGGTTCAACCCGCCCAAAACAGGACCTGTGCCTCAACCCCAAACCTTAGACCCCAAAAACCCCAAAATGAAACCCTAACCCTCAAGAACCCTCAAGAACTCTCAAGCCCTAAACCCTCAAGCCCCAGAACCCCCCAAACCCCACGAGCACCGAACCCTGAAACGTGGCTCTAAGCTCAGCCGGGCCGCTTAAAGGCCAGGGTCTCCTTCAGGGCCAGGCAAAATTAATAAAGAACCTTTACGACTTTGGGCTTCTTGGGGTTTTGCTTGGGCCTTAAGGTTTCTTTGGGGGGGTTTTGTGGGCTTTTTAGGGTTTTAGGGTGTTTACGGGTTTAGGGCTGCGTGGGGGTCATACAGGGATGACTGTAGGGATCCCGGCCCCCTGTTTGAGCTAAGCTTATCCAGTTTCGGGTCTTTGTGTTGGGGTGGCTTGTGGGCCTGGCTTGGATCGTAGGCCTTGCTGGGGCCTACGGATCCAGGCCCTGAGTTGGGGGGCTCAGTTTGGCGTGATGCGGGCGGTCGATCACATTTGTATGGGCCCTTACCCAAAGGGCCTGCCATGGAGAATGATAGGTACACGGCGTGAGCTTTGTAACAAGCCAAGCCCTCGCCAACTCCTTCATTCATCTCAATCCTTTCTGCCAAGGCACAGTGTAGGTCTTCAGCGCATCCGGGTCGTCCGCCTTTTCTACAACCACGCGGAACCCGTTGAAAAGCCGCAGAGACATCACCGCCCGGGGCGTAGTAAATAGATCCTGCAACGTGGGGCAAAGGTCGTCTGGGTGTGGGAGTCTCGGAGAGCCCTCTTGGGCTTTGGAGCTTCAGGGCTTCATGGTCCGAGGGTGGCGTCTCCAACACCTCTCATCCGGCACCCGAATCGCCCCCGAGCCCGCCCCAGTAGTAAGCTGCAAATCCTGACCCCTCTTCCGTTTACAAGCCCCCGCCTTCAGCACAAACACCGAGCTTGAGAGGGCACAATACCTGCAGCTTTATCAGTTTAGGGTTTTCAGGTTGGGGGGATTCTGCGTCGGGACACAGGATGTCACCCAGCTGCTCCCGATCGCGGCCGGCAGCATCCCTGGGACAGGGGCTCAGGCATCAGAATGCCCTTCTCAACCCCCAAACTGTTTGTCTTTGACACAACAAGGGGGCGCTAAAGTCCTAAAGGATCCCAAGCAATCCAACCGAGACCTTGCCCCCTGAAGTCAGGCCCCAGTCACATCAGGAGCTGCCAGGAGGACCTCAGGATCTGAACGTCGTGGACCGGCCTCGGGGGCGGATCCAGGGTCGCCCAGGGTCCCCCCTTTTCGCAGGTGCCCCTTTTGCTGATAAAGTCGATACTCAATTTCATGACCTCCATATGGGCCTCCTAAGAGCGAGTCTGGTTCAAAAGAATCCCCACCGAACCCCTCGACCCCAAAGAATGATCGTCACTACGAGAGTGCGAAGCTGAACGACAACCCCCAAACCCCCTCCCCGCTGAGGATTTCTACAGAGGACGGTGAGTAGGCCGAGTAGGCAGAGTAAGATTGGAGGCTCAGGATTCTGTAAAGGGAAGACCGGGCACAGCTTGAGCAGCTCGAAGGACTCCCCGAACGCCTCATCCATACCAGGAGTGATGTTGCTAAAACCTGGCGCGCATGACTTCTGATCTTTTGGGGGGGGGGGGGGGGGTCTCTATTCTAGTGTGCATTCTTTACAGCCTTTGGTAAAAAGGGCAGAGAGCTCGCTGGCGCCTTTTGAGGAGCTTCAGGGGCTTAGGGGCGGCCTGGACCTTGAGTCTTGAGGACTGAGTGACACATAGCCTGAAGCGAGCGCCATCCTGTGTGCCCCCACCTCAACCACCCCCACCCCAAAACTTTGCCTGGACGAAGCACCCCTAAACTCAAAAAACCCTACATCCAGGTGAAAACCTTGTTTCGAGCTAGGGGCAATTGTTTGAAGCCTAGGGGGGGAACCCGTCACACCCGAAGCCCAAGGCTCGACACGAAGTTCAGGGTTTGGAGGTGAGGGCTTGGTAATTTTGAGGGGTTTGTAGCCCTAAGCCCTAAACCCTAGACCTTAAACCCGAAAACCCTTATAAACCCTTTCAGTTTGGGGTTTAGCATTTCGGGTTTGGAGGTGTAGGGTGCAGGGCTGGCAGCGTAAGGTTTCGGGCGCACGATCTCAAAGTTGACGTCAGGTGCCCCTGAAACTTAAAACCTTAAACCCTCAATCCAGCAAAGCCCCTCAACCCTGAACCCTAACTCTACACCCTACGATGGGCCCTGACCCCCCAGCCCCCAAACCCTAAGGGAACGACGCCTGAAAACTCGTCCCAGCGGCCGTCCGAACCCGAGAGCCCATCCAGATTGGAATCGGCGTCCAACTGCTCGGTCTTCTCGCAGAAGATCGCGTCCTCCAAGGCGAAAAGACTGGGTCACACTGGAAACCCTGTGTAGGGCTTGTGGGCTTAAGGTGCACAGCGGACAGGATGAAACTGAGCGTGCGATCAGCCCCGAAGATTCGGACTTGGGGCAACCTCCAGGCCTTGTGGGGTTGAGGGGTTGAGGTTTGGGGCTCAAGGTTGCCAGTTGGACACAAGCCATCATGGCACCACTGTAACGAACAGCTCCTGCTCGACCTCCCGCAACACGTCAGCATCTTCTGCCATTGCAAAGCTTAGCTTGAGCAACGGGGAGAAGCCCTTCAAGACGTTATGTCCGCCACCAAGGACCACAAATAGCAGTCTCTGCCTCACTTGAACCTACTCACAGTGGCTGTTCCAGTACGCTTAGCCATCCTCAACACAGGCTTGAGTTCTGAAAAGCGAACTGCGACAAGCGCACAGGAACTGCAGTTATTCGTGAAGTGTGGTGCGACCGCGGCAGCAGCGACAATGCCTATGCAAGGCTGGCTAGGTTATGGCTGGGTTGCTCAGCTTGAAAATCATGCTCTGTATACGGCCACCCATGAGTCACCTTTTTTCGAGGCTTCCGCGAACAGTCGGCCAGCTCATTGGCTGGCGGCAAAGGCGGCCATGAGCCACGTTCACGTCAAGCCCCGGGGTTTCAGCTCTTGCCGGCGCTCTTGCTTGCAATGCTTGGCAGACTTGGCAGACTTGGCAGACGTGTCAGGATCCTGGAACTTCGACTCGGCACAAGCGGCCCTGGCACCGGCGGAGAAGGCTTCGGTGCACACGCTCCGCTCAGCAGAGGCTCCCACTGAGGATGACCGCCACAAGGCACGGAAGCCTGGCGGACGTGGCATGCACAACGCCGCCTCCCTTTGCCGCAGCTGCTCCGAGCATCGCCAAGGAAGCCCGGAAGCCTGCGTGGGTTGCTGCGTGGGTTGCTGCGTGAGTTGCAAGAGGGACCGCTTTGATGCGGGCAGCTCCCACCTTTGTGCATGTTGCGCAGCAGGTGGCTCAACGCCGAGGCTAGCTGGCGGCCTTCGGCCGCTCCGCACCTTCGAAAGCCTCCACTATCCGCAGTGGCGTGAGGAGGCCATCCACGAAGGAGGCGATCAGAGCAGCCGGTGCGAACGAAGATTCATCACACACGGAGGTGCTGCACTGTATCCGCAAGCCTTAAAGATCCTAGTTGCCTAGCTGTCTAAGCCTAGGCCTCCGCGTGGTTGCTTGTGTGCCTCTGGGGGTACCTGCCGTGGCACACGCACTGACACGCTGCATTGGCAAGAGCAAAAGAGCGAGCAGAGACCTCGCCTAGCTTGCGAAATCCATGTGAACCCTACCAGGGACCGTCTTCGCTCGCTCTTAGGTCGGCAGCCTGAGCTGAGAACCGTTCATTAACTTCAAGATTTCAAGCTGAGCCACAAAAGACACAAGAGCAACAGCTGCTGCTGCTCCTCTTGTGCGTGTGGCTTTGCGAGCAGCCGGTCACTCGCCTGAGTTGCGAGCGCCGCTGCGCGCGAAGGATGCGTCTTGGAGAAGCTCGCGTGTGGGGCACCGAGGGACCTTGCCTAGCAGAAACTCAGCCTCCAAGATGCGCGACGGGGGCCAGGGCTTCATCCACGTCATCTCACTTTGCTTGTCGCAGCAGCATGTCGCAGCAGCATGACTCAGCTGCATGCCTTATGAATGCTAGGACTATGAGAAAACAGCAGGCACGAGAGCAGGCCCAACCGCGGCATTTCCCACAGCCCTTAAGGGTGTGCCTCGGGGAGCTCAGGGGTGCGACAGAATGTTGTTTAATGCAAGGTTTTAAAGAGCTTGGCGTCCCTGAGGTTGGCAAATTCACTTAGCCTTCCTCGACCTTACACAGAAGCCTCCGTGAGCACGTCATGCAGAAAGAGCGGGGCGCAACACAGACTGCAGAACTAGCACGACTCGCAGCCAATGTGGCAGGTACTGAGAGCCTCCGAGCGCTTGCAAGAAAGTACTCGGGCCCTGTACCCTAAAAACCCCCCGAGAGGCCCTGCACCCGAAAACGCCGCTGTCTGCAGCACGCCTTGGGTCTCTGCAAGCCTACCAAGTATGGATGAAACTGAACGGTTGCCTTCCAAGACCCTATATGCTTCTTCCTGACTGCCTCGGTGGCAAAACAAGGAAACGCAACGCCCAATTAGCCCATAGTACTAGTAGTAGAAGGAGTTGTACAGCTCAGAAGCCTTCCACGTGTCAATGGAACTGCGCGGAAACAGCCCTTGACAAGGTGAACACTGGAGCTTGCTTGGCACATCACACAAGGCAGCCCACGTTTGAGGCGCGCCTTTTTCAACCCCAGGGAGACGGCCCAGTTGGACCCCGCTCTCGAAGCGCAGGGTCCAAGGCCCAAGTGAGGGTGCTTTTTCCGCTTGGCATGTCAGTGCATATCGACTTGGGCTTCGTGTCCACTGAGTCCGGGGCCATCGCCTGTTGAAGAGACGCTGTGGGAAGTCAGGTCGGGCATCCTCTGTGGGCATCTGTCAATGCCGGCGGGCAGGGAAACAGAACGAAACAGGTCAACGAAGCCATGAGAAACCATGCACATACCGTGCGAAGCTGTACGAAGTCTCATGTGCACGGATCAATCTGTACTTCGCGGAACTCCGCGCAGACTGGCCAGAGCCCCAGGAAGTTTAGCAAATTTCAGGCGTGCTTCTGGAGATGCTTGGAGTCCGGAAGGAAACACATGCCAGATCTACATGCCACTCTACTCCCGGGCAGCATGTAGAAACCTTGGCCCCCAGTTATACTTATACACCTCATCTCATGGCAAAGCTGTTTAATCTAAATCCTCTACATCCTCCAACTAACCTTTGGCATGCCATCTTGTGCCGAAGCTTCTTCGGAACTTTAATTTGAGCCGCGATCGCTGGATCAGCGTGCAGCTACACCTGACCAGCCCCGTTCAAGAAGAAGTCAAAATGACCCTAAGGCCGGTGAATCTGGCACTGATCGGTACTGCTAGATGCCTAGACCTCACACGGATCCGCACCTCTGTTCCAGGCGTTGCTGGTCCGGCGCGCCTACGTCTGCTCGGCCCTCCATTCAGCGAGAAACAGGGTCCTGTGCAGACCTTTTTGGCTTAGCCAGGCCTGGGAGGAAAGCACTCCCATTCGGCACACAGAGAGACAGCTGCCCTTCTTAGGCGTTTAAGACTTCTAGTAAAGCTTTGTCGTATGCTTCCCGCTTGGGCAGACCTGCCGGAGCGGCGCCGCTACGGAGCAGCCAGCAGCGCAAAGGTCGCAGAAGTCGGGGAGGGTGCACGCTCTAATGGGCTAATGACTGGAGCGCATGCGCAGGGAACAGCTGAGAAGCACTTTCACCTCCGTAGGAGCTTAGCCCCTGGGCCAAGTTAGAACATACCTTGGAAAAAAAGAGGACCGGAGTTCGTGTCCATGCAATCTGCAGCGAGCAAAACAGGCAACAGTCCAGAGTCGAAGCCATTTATCAAAACCATCACAGAGATCGCCTGCGAGGTCGCTGAGCATCGTGAACAGATCGACAGATTGCGGCGGCGTGAAGAGCATGGACGCTACCAGCATGACGAGGCTTTTGCAGGTTGAAGGCTGCTGTTCGCAACCCGAGTTCCGAGGACATAGCCTCCAAGGCACACCCTGTCTTTGCCAGACATGAGTCTTTGCAAGACTCTAAGGGCTCGGGACAGGGCAGCGTGCTTGATTCGGTGCTGCTGCTGATAAGGCCTGAGAGCAAGCTGGGAAGGACGGACAATCACGAAGCCAAGCTGATTACCAAGCACATCGATGCAATCAATCAGGGCGAGTCCCAAGAAGCGAGGTCCTCCGAACATGTCTTAGCTCCCATTCTGAAAGCACGGAGGAAAGCCTCCGCCTGCAACGCCACAACAGTTGTCACGGCTTCCCAGCAATTTCTGCGCCCAGGTTCAGAAGAACCTCGACACAGCCAAGCATGCACACATCCGGGCGGCAGCAACGGCAGACAAGAAGTCACAGCAGCACCACGGAGCGACAAAGACGACAAAAAAGCAAGAACTGCTGCAAGTACCATCCGGCATGGACACTCACATAACCTTTGAGGCTGGAGTTTATCCAGAGCCGTGCCGGGCGCGGCTGTGAGCAGTTTCACTGCTGGGGGATAAGACTGGCAGGATGAAAGAAGGCAAAGCCCGTGACTGTATGTGACCCTATGAGTTCACCTTTTGCCTGTGCCCCTTTCTCCGAAAGACAACGCGATAGCAAACGCCACTGTCTCATCATCTAGAAGGTCTCATGCCAACGGTCCTGCTTCTGAGGGTGGCACGAACAAACAAACCGACTACAACACCTACGGGCTTGAAGGCCTACGCCTACTTCTGAGGGAGGCGCGAAACTACACAAAAGACATCCCCACATTACTGGCATCATACCCCGGAGCTGGACATTCACACAAGGACACACATCTCAACAGCACTTCGTGGCCCGAAACACCGCAGGCCTGCAGAGGTTTGGGCGAACAAGAGGCAGATGTGCTACCATGAAGTGACGTCTGACGGACCTTCAATCACCAGGAACCGTAGACATCGACTGCATCAAAGAAACACAGGGCCGCTTTCCCTGCATAGCCCGGCGATCAAGCTGGGATATGAGTCAACCGGCCATGACTCAGGCGTGCAAGGGCCTCGTCCATTGCACTTGCGAACCTACACAAGTTTTCGAGCCCATCGATGCAAGATATGCCCTCTTCCCTCCAAGTGCCTGATTTGCCGCTGCGTGGGAAGGGCTGAAAAAATGCCAATCCGAGAAAAGTTGCCTCATGGTACCCCGATCAAGCGCATCGATGCAATCGATCAATGGTGAGTCCCAACAAACGATTTCCTCCAAACACGTTGCCGCTCCTGCTTTGAAGGGACGGGGGGTTCTGGGTAGGTGGGCCTCCACGTGCAACCTGATGGTCGTTGCAGCCGGCCTATGGTCTGAGAGCAGAATACCGGCAGGGACGGGCCCCTCCCTCAACGGCTCATGCGGAGCAAATGACAAGCTGCCGCTGGCACCAAGACATGAGGCAGAGCATTTGCCAAGGATCCCTCTCACAAGGCGCACGATGATCAAGAGTATCAAGAGCCCTTGCAAGGCGGCCAGACGCCGGCGCATGGTGAGCGGTAGGCCTCGGGCCGGCGACGTGCGAACCGATGCAAGGACTCTCGGATGAACGGCACCGGTTGGACACGAGAGCACCAAATGGACAACCGGGCCTTCCCCATGTCCCCGAGATGAGAAAGCAAGATAAAGCAAGAGGGGCGGAAGATGAAGCACAGCCGGGTTCATTGACTCAATGCATCGGCGCGGTGAGTCAGAGGCCCAGCACTGAACCCCAAAACATCTCAGAACATGCCGGTTCTTCCATGGCGGACCGGTCTGGGGCATCCAAGGCAGCGCAGAGGCTTTTTTAGGGGGTTTCCAGGGCTCAGGGGAGGCCTTTTGCTTGAAATCTCAAGAAAAGAACGTGCACGTACGCATCTGGGCAGCTGCAAAAACAACGGACAAGATGTCACAGCAGCAGCACCGAAGGAGGGGACAGAAGCACTTGAGAGCAGGCCACAAAGAGGAACTTTGAGCCAGCAGGGGCCAGAGAGTTACTCAGAAACCCCCCAGGGACACGGGCAGGGATTTCCCAGTCTCTCTTATCGGCAGACAAGGTAGCCACATGCAGCTGAAATGAGAAGCCCCTCTCCGTGCCAAAATACGTGTTCACCCAACTCGAACTTCTGCGCTGCAAGGAACTCGAAGGTCCCCGCACTCGCCTGCGGAATTGAACTCTGTGAGGTCGACAGCTTGTTCGCCCTCGGGGTCCTTCACCCTTCAAGTCCTTCGAGGCTCGAGGCAGCTCACAACATGACTTGGACCGTGTCGTCCACACTGGGAGGGGGATTGCAGCGCATCCACACGGACGGAAATTCGGAAACCCAGCGTGGCCACCACACTCGTCGAACTTACTTGGCAATGATGAAGGAAGCTCACAACCGAACCGCAGCAACCAGAATGCACGCTGCCACCATTGGAGCACCGTGCCTGTGCGTGTGAACAGTGTGCGCAGTGTGACCAGTGTGAACGCGGTGAAGCAGCACACCCTTCATCAATGCGGCCATACGGCCTTCGGCGAACATCAGAATGGTAACGTCTTGAACCTGTGGCATGTTCTGACCACGGCTACACTTCCAGCTGCACTGCAAGGAAGCACGCTGCAGAGCAAAGGCAGACCAGCCGTCGCTGGCTCTATGACTCTAGGGGCGCCATGGCGCGAGCGATGGTGCCTGCATTCTTCCGTGCAAAACTCCAGACAGAACCTCACCTGACTTGGCACAGCAGGACTCGACAGGGCTCTCTTGACTCCTGTAGAGCCAGATCGTCACGCTGGCCTCACACTCTCGGGAGTTCAAGAGCTGAGGGGTTCAGAGGCTTAACGAAGCCTCCACGGCTTCACGGAGACCCTGGCCCATGGGGCAGGGTCTTTCAGTACTGGCTGCACGGCTGTGCAAGCGAGGTCGTGCCATGCACTGGCAGGCCCCTCAAGGTCGCCACGACACGAGCTCCGCACCGTGGGCTGTGCACCCGGCAAGCGATCCTTCCCGCAAGAGTGCGCTGATCAACGACCAAGAGCCGGAGCCGACGAACCTACGTTGGACCTACGAACCTACATGATACATCTGATACATCCGTACATCCGCGATACGTCATGCAAGCTCTTGGATGGGGGATGCGGAGGCAAGAGGAACTCTCCCTGAACGGCCAACGTGAGTCAACATCGCACACTTTGTAAGTACCGCTTTGGGCCGGCCAAGCACGACTTGCGGGAATGCTCAAGCGTCGGAAAAAAATCGGAAGACTGGCTGTCTAGAGCCTAGAGCAACTGACTGGAGCTTCTCGGCGATCGATGAATCAGAGGCGAATCCCAGGCGATCCCAATGAACCACGTTACAGCTCCTCTAAGATTCTAAGAAGTGTGGCCTCCAGGGAGCGCAGAGACTCCATGCTTTCCTAGGAGCTCATCCGCGTGAGCTGATGAAACCGGGGGGATACACAGCTTGACTATGTGACGAGGTGTCTGAGCAACTGCACCGCTGGACGGGGGCAGAGCTCACGCTACTGCCGTCTGGTTCAGAGCGACCTTCGGCCAGCACATTCCGAAGGATTCAACTTTCCACTGTTGTAGCCAATCGCAGCAGCCGCTGACACCTGTCCAAGAACACGGCCAATCCGCAACTAACGCATCTACGAGTGTTCAGTCAAAGCAGAAACTACATGCCACGTGACTGACCACGGAAACGACGACTGGCTGCAGAGATGTGACCCTGTGTTGTAAAACTGTCTTTGATCTTTCCACCATTTCCTGGTGAGTTCACTGCCCTTGATCATGGCCCTGCCTGTCCACAGACTGGAATGCAAAATCTGTCTAATGTCAATTCAGTGATCATCCTCCAGCCGCGCCACGGACCCCACCACATAGTCCCAGACAGATGAAACGGCATAGACCCCAACATCAACATAACACATACTGGGAACTCAAGTACCCTTGTCCCGAACCCGGAAAAAACAATACGCCTGCTCGAAATGAAGGCAGCGGCCAAGAATGGATGCCACCAACATTGCTCCGCTTTGATCGCTCGCAAGCGTCATCCCCTCCTTTGATACTTTTGGGCTTCGGGGCTTAGGGCTTAGGGTTTAGGGCCAAGGGGCTTCCTGAACTTCAGGTATGAAAGGGTAGCAAGCCAACGTGCTTGAATACTCATCAGCCATCAGCCGTTTGCACTGATTACTCGGGGAGCAGAGAAGCTGCACAATGTGTGTCGCGACAACGTGGCGATAAGTTTGTGGGTGTCTTTGTGTGTGTGTGCGCGTGTAGGCAGGGCCAGGGCACCGTCAGTTTATACATAGGGGTTGGAGCCGTTTCCAGACGCCATCAACGGCCTCCCAAACGAAGACGTTGTGCTCTTTCATCGTCCTTTCAAAACAGGGTCTAAACAGGTTGAGATGATCCATTGTTGCAACATCGTTGGTTGTCGTTTGTACTTTCTTCATCACGGCGCATACACGAGCGAAGGCCTGGCGCTGAATAAGATGAAGTAACGTACTCTGCATGAGTAACAGTATAAAGATGTCACATGCGTCTTCGTCTTCTGATATTATTAGCATCCTGCCTCGTCTGCTTTTTGTTCTCCTTGTTCGTATCATTCGTCTCCTTTGCCTTCGTCTTATTCTGCTAAGTGTTCTCATTTCCTTCTTCTCCTTCTTCTCTGTGCAAGTTCCGGCTGCGAGTCGCGAGTCCCGCATGCTGCCTCGCCAATGAGTGCGACAGAGATTTGCGTTCGGTTAGCGGATGCCATGGCATGTCGCTTTAGCTGCGGGATCTGCGGGGCACGTGTCTTGTTTCAGTACGAAGTCGCGTTTTGTTGTCACTGCGGTTGAGATCGGGCTGTAGGGCTCAATCGGGGTTGGTAGGAGGTTTGGGGCTTCTCGACAGAGTTGATCTTCCGACCCATGTGTTGAGACAAGGGCCAGATATCAAACTATGCCTTAAACTCGATATGAGCTCGAACAACACTGTCTGCAGAACCATATACAGCGCAGGCACAGGAGAAGAACAATCTACTTTGTGGGTACACCGGTATGGTGAATGCCCGTGATTGGGGGCTCCCTGAACATATCAAGAGCCAGGACAGCCAGGACAACCAGGATGTGCTCTGACCATGAGGATCTACCGAACCAAACGTCATCAAGGGTTGCATGTTAATCAGTGCCATCTGCGAAAAGTCTTGAAAATGCTGGACTACTGTTCAAACGCCTTCTCAATGGATGTATCATTTGCAAGCTACAGCCGCCCGCAAGCAATCAGCACGTGGGTTTTTCGAGGCTTCCGCGAACAGTCGGCCAGCTCATTGGCTGGCGGCAAAGGCGGCCGGCGGCCACGTTCACGTCAAGCCCGGGGGTTTCAGCTCTTGCCGGCGCTCTTGCTTGCAATGCCTGGCAGACTTGGCAGACTTGGCAGACACGTCAAGATCCTGGAACTTCGACTCGGCACAAGCGGCCCTGGCACCGGCGGAGAAGGCTTCGGTGCACACGCTCCGCTCAGCAGAGGCTCCCACTGAGGATGACCGCCACAAGGCACGGAAGCCTGGCGGACGTGGCATGCACAACGCCGCCTCCCTTTGCCGCAGCTGCTCCGAGCATCGCCAAGGAAGCCCGGAAGCCTGCGTGGGTTGCGTGAGTTGCAAGAGGGACCTGAATCGGGCAGCTCCTACCTTTGTGCATGTCGCGCCGCAGGTGGCTCAATGCCGAGGCTAGCTGGCGGCCTTCGGCCGCTCTGCACCTTCGAAAGCCTCCAGTATCCGCAGTGGCGTGAGGAGGCCATCCACGAAGGAGGCGATCAGAGCAGCTGCGCACGAGGATTCATCGGGTAAGGAGCCTCTGCGCCTGCATCCACAAGCCTTGAAAGTCCTAGTTGCCTTAGCTGTCCAAGCCTAAGCCTCCGCGTGGTTGCTTGTGTGCCTCTGGGGGTACCTGCCGTGGCACACGCACTGACACGCTGCACTGGCAAGAGCAAAAGAGCGAGCAGAGACCTCGCCTAGCTTGCGAAATCCATGTGAACCCTACCAGGGACCGTCTTCGCTCGCTCTTAGGTCGGCAGCCTGAGCTGAGAACCGTTCATTAACTTCAAGATGTTCATTAACTTCAAGATTTCAAGCTGAGCCACAAAAGACACAAGAGCAACAGCTGCTGCTGCTCCTCTTGTGCGTGTGGCTTTGCGAGCAGCCGGTCACTCGCCTGAGTTGCGAGCGCCGCTGCGCGCGAAGAATGCGTCTTGGAGAAGCTCGCGCATAGAGCACCGAGCGACCTTGCCTAGCAGAAACTCAGCGTCCAAGATGGACGACGGGCATCATCCACCATCATCTCACTTTGCTTGTCGCAGCAGCATGCCTCAGCTGCATGGCGGATCACTGGGGTCAGAGCACGTCTCCTACGAGAGTGGGCCCAAGTGCAGCCTTCTCGAAAGCCAAGGCGGCGACAATCGAACTGAAGATGAATTCAGAAAGGCCCGGTAAGAAGGGGGTGGCCCACCCGTGCGTTGCTGGAGACGATTGATGTGCCCGTGTGCGGCACTCGCCATTCCCCGCACATCGGCTTAAAGGCACACTCAAGACAAGCTGGCCGTTGGGCCACGTCGACTCTGAAACAGATGCACTCAGCCACTTGCCCGGCATGGCTGCCTGCAACCCATTCAGGCGAGCAGCAGCACGCGAAGCTGACTCACGTGCCAGGAAGTCCTGGGCAAACTACTTCCGCATCGTGCCCTGCTCCTCCAGTCCAAGCTGACCAACATGAAGTGCTCAGGTGCATCCGCATGACCTCCAAAACCGCTCGACAGCCCCCTACAAGTTCTGCGGTATACGCGGGGCAGGGTTTAGGGTTCAGGGGAAAGTTTAGGGTGCAGGGAGCAGGGGCTTTTGTCCAAGCATCGGGCGTGAAAGTATGGGGCGGGCTGCCAGCCGAGGCATACTAGTTTCGAAGGTTCTGAGGCTATTGCGAAAGCCTGGCACCAAATACACCAAGCTCAGGTTATATATGCGAAGAATTCTAGGGCCATCAGAACGATTCTTCAGCAGCCAAAGCCGACTTCTGCCTCAGAACGCAGCCAGGCACAACACCATGACTGACGACGCTCAGCTCGCCGGCAAAGCTACTGCAAAGCTTGAACTCTGCAGCCACCACGTCAAGTGCTTAGCAGGGAAAGCAGGAACACGGACACGTCTCCGACCTGCGTAGGTCCAACAGACTCCAAAGGCACATCGAAATTAGTCTAAGTCGTCTCCAGCCACTGCAGCCTTGTGGCGGCAGCACAGCATGTTCATTGAGTCCCGACAGCGAGCGCCAGGAGATACAAAGTTCCTCGGAAGTGCAATAACTGAGCAATACCCGAAGTCGTGTGCTGTTGCGTATGCCCACTGCTGCCCACAGCACGAGCTTTCTGAACAAGGATTCCTGTGCTCAGCAGATTTTAGTCCTGAGCGGATGGACGATACAGTATTGGCGACAATAGACGTGCCGGCATGAACTCGGAACTGTTCAGAGACGTAGTAGGCAGGCAAAAACCACGGACGCGGAAGCCGACGAATCGTCTACTGCAGAGAGTGTGAAAATGACGAAGAGTCCTCAATTCTGGCTTGAAACCAGAGCCAAATCTTGCGTGCGCCGGAGACCTTCAGGGAGACATGTAGCCCCTTCAGGGTGCTGGGGTTGCTGGTGTAATTCAGCTCCAGCTCGTGTAATTCTCAACAGCCGGCTGGCTGAACATGCGGGGATGCTGCAGAAGAAGTTGCACAAGAAACGGCGTTACAGAGCGACTGGCGCACGAGCCGCCTGCTGCTGGCAGAGATCCAGCGATGTGGCATGCCAGCATGGAAGAGACCAAGACGGTCACCAAGCATTTGATGGACATGCATCTGACATCTGACCCATGCACATGTAAGCCCAAAGCTACGGCACGCCACCCTTTGCCATGGAAAGAGGCCGCCCTTCTTCCACTACCACAATCTTAATCTGTCTGTGCCAATGCAAGTGCAGGACGTGCACTGCACTCGCATGCCTGGGGCAAGTCTACACATGGGAACACATCGCATTTGGGGCTGGCCTGCCAGACGGCTGTCAGATCCACAGAGGACGACCTGCACCCCAGTGATACCAGCCAGGGGCACCCAGCTAACTGAAGCAGCACGAGGCTTTAACAGTCGAATCTGATGCAGACACTGGAATTTCGATGCAAGCACCTTTTCACATGGCTGCAAAGTTGGTCGCCCAGCAGCTCCGACCATGCGTTCTAACGTCATTTTGGGTCAACTAAATGAAGTTCGGCTGTATTTTCTGCCAGGAGATGCCAAGCAGATCCTCTGTGACAACGGTTGCCACAACCTCAACGTCCTGCTCTAAAATCATGAGAAGGCTGTTGTCAACTGATCACGAATGTGAATTCATCTCAGCATGCAGGACGCCGGAAATACCGGGCAGCAGGAGCACACCACCACGTAGCCACAGCTTGCAATAATCTGTGAGCATGCGGTATCAGGTGCGCTGCGCCATCGACGGTGCTGGCACGCGTGTGGTCATGCTGCTGTGTTGGGCCAGATCGGCTTACTCCAAGGTGGGCAGACCAACAGCACAAACCATGGCTCGACGCAGAAACAGTCGCCAGCTGCCCAAGCAGACAAGAAAACAGCCAAACGCCAAGCAAGTCCACACGCACGGGAAATGAGGGCACGGGACTCCCAGCCAGTGGAATGCCCCAATGCGCCGCTCTGTCCCATGTCTTGCATGCATCAGAGACCTTCAGGGAGACATGTAGCCCCTTCAGGGTGCTGGGGTTGCTGGTGTAATTCAGCTCCAGCTCGTGTAATTCTCAACAGCCGGCTGGCTGAACATGCGGGGATGCTGCACAAGAAGTTGCACAAGAAACGGCGTTACAGAGCGACTGGCGCACGAGCCGCCTGCTGCTGGCAGAGATCCAGCGATGTGGCATGCCAGCATGGAAGAGACCAAGACGGTCACCAAACATTTGATGGACATGCATCTGACATCTGACCCATGCACATGTAAGCCCAAAGCTACGGCACGCCACCCTTTGCCATGGAAAGAGGCCGCCCTTCTTCCACTACCACAATCTTAATCTGTCTGTGCCAATGCAAGTGCAGGACGTGCACTGCACTCGCATGCCTGGGGCAAGTCTACACATGGGAACACATCGCATTTGGGGCTGGCCTGCCAGACGGCTGTCAGATCCACAGAGGACGACCTGCACCCCAGTGATACCAGCCAGGGGCACCCAGCTAACTGAAGCAGCACGAGGCTTTAACAGTCGAATCTGATGCAGACACTGGAATTTCGATGCAAGCACCTTTTCACATGGCTGCAAAGTTGGTCGCCCAGCAGCTCCGACCATGCGTTCTAACGTCATTTTGGGTCAACTAAATGAAGTTCGGCTGTATTTTCTGCCAGGAGATGCCAAGCAGATCCTCTGTGACAACGGTTGCCACAACCTCAACGTCCTGCTCTAAAATCATGAGAAGGCTGTTGTCAACTGATCACGAATGTGAATTCATCTCAGCATGCAGGACGCCGGAAATACCGGGCAGCAGGAGCACACCACCACGTAGCCACAGCTTGCAATAATCTGTGAGCATGCGGTATCAGGTGCGCTGCGCCATCGACGGTGCTGGCACGCGTGTGGTCATGCTGCTGTGTTGGGCCAGATCGGCTTACTCCAAGGTGGGCAGACCAACAGCACAAACCATGGCTCGACGCAGAAACAGTCGCCAGCTGCCCAAGCAGACAAGAAAACAGCCAAACGCCAAGCAAGTCCACACGCACGGGAAATGAGGGCACGGGACTCCCAGCCAGTGGAATGCCCCAATGCACCGCTCTGTCCCATGTCTTGCGTGCATCAGAGACCTTCAGGGAGACATGTAGCCCCTTCAGGGTGCTGGGGTTGCTGGTGTAATTCAGCTCCAGCTCGTGTAATTCTCAACAGCCGGCTGGCTGAACATGCGGGGATGCTGCACAAGAAGTTGCACAAGAAACGGCGTTACAGAGCGACTGGCGCACGAGCCGCCTGCTGCTGGCAGAGATCCAGCGATGTGGCATGCCAGCATGGAAGAGACCAAGACGGTCACCAAACATTTGATGGACATGCATCTGACATCTGACCCATGCACATGTAAGCCCAAAGCTACGGCACGCCACCCTTTGCCATGGAAAGAGGCCGCCCTTCTTCCACTACCACAATCTTAATCTGTCTGTGCCAATGCAAGTGCAGGACGTGCACTGCACTCGCATGCCTGGGGCAAGTCTACACATGGGAACACATCGCATTTGGGGCTGGCCTGCCAGATGGCTGTCAGATCCACAGAGGACGACCTGCACCCCAGTGATACCAGCCGAGGAAAGGCGTCTTTGAGCTGTCGTGAGTGGCCGGGCACTTGCATGTAGAACTGCTATGACCTTACTGAATTTGAATGACCTTACAAGCTTGGACAGAACAAACCCAAAACAAAGGACGCTCGGGTCGCAAAGTCAAAGGGCCCAGCTGGCAGCCTCCGTAGGCTTTTGAAGCTCCGAGTCGCTGGACACACCAAGATGGCTTTTTTGGGACCGAACCCGCAATGTATCGAGGGTTCGTGTCGCTGGAGATCTTAAGGGCTAATCATGGGGCCAGGAAAACATCGGCAAGCACAGCACCCACGCTGGCCCTGGAACTTTCTGGTGTGGGCCGGAGTGGGAATCGAGCCTGCGCTGCG